CATCGTGGGGTAGCTGCCCCGGTACAAATTCTCATGTCCCTTCTGCACCCCTTTCTCTCTGAGAATGAATGAACTGTCTCTAAAGGTCAGGGCTGCAGCCTTTGGTACTCTATAACAGCTATAAGGCTCCAGCGCAGGGTAGTGTGGGTGTCTGTAGGTCAGAGGGTCTCCGAACTCCCCAACAAAGAGGTAAACGTGCTCACTGGACTAGGCAAGCCACTGACTTTCAATGTCCACTCACCACTTTGTAATTGGTTGAATTGAAGTACTTAGTTTTTCCTTGTAATAATACTTGGACAATTGTGAGACTGAACGTAATTAATCATAAAACTCAGTATAGTGCCTGCCTCAGTAGGCTGTATCTCCAACAACTTAACACACAGGGAATCCCGACCACATTGCTCTTCTGCTGTTGCATCCGTCACTTTAGGGCTCTGCTAGACACATTTTGGAAGAAAACAATATACAATAATATAAAGAGTCTTACTCTTCATTTTTCAGGGGAAAAGAATTGACCTCTAGTCAAACTAAACCTAGACTATGAATTTGAAAAACCTAAATATTGAAACACACACACACATGCACACTTAAAACAGTATTGTTATTTAAAAGTCTAACTCAATGTTTTCTTTTTTATTTTTTACAACATTTTCATTATTATGGTTTTATTGTAAAGAGAAAAAGTATCTACCTGAATAAATGGTTTCTCATTTTTGTGGACACTGCTAACTGGGTAAGCCAGTGTTATTTGACATCTTGAATCCAAACATTCTGAATTTTTTCCTTACTACAACTCCCTGGTGATGACCTTTTGTTTATTTCCAAAGCTAATGGATAAACTATATTTGATCACCCCAAAGTTAATGACGCTCACTTTCGCTCAAAATTTCTTTCCCAATAAAGAACCCCTTAACGGAGATGTCTTCTGCTGAGACACTTTAATTAAATTCTGAGACCCCTTACCAGAGGTATCTTCTTCTGAGTCACTTCTTCCAATTTATTTATGGTTCCATAAAAGGCTCAAAACAAACAAATCCTTTCTGCCAGCAGAAAGAGTACATGAAATATCAAGGATATTCTTGGAATTTAGAGTAAAACCAGAGGTGGCACATGCTTGTTAAATCTCAAACTCCGGAACCAAATAAACATCATACAGGCTCAGCCACTCACAGGCTGTGAGAGCTTCAACAAATTATTTTTCTTCTTTTGCAAAAGTGGATAACGAGTATCCTTCTCAGAGGATCGTTGAGAGGATTAAGCACAATAAATCACATAACATTTGGTACAGAGCTGGGTATACATGAAGCCTCTATTAAAGGATACTTTTATTCTCAGTGTGATATGTAAAATTAGTATAGGACAAAATCATTTTATCGGAGATTTTATTAGGCAGCAATTCTTATAAATTTACTCTATGTTAGTAACTCTTTTGATGCAAAAACCCTCTATTTACTAAGATTAAGATTTCATCAGAAAAACATACCTGGATCTTTCATCTAATCAATATTTCTGATACCTATCATTATTATTATTCCAGGGTGTTCTCTACAGTAACTGTCAGCCTATCTATGAGAATATAAAACAATCAGTCATTCATTGCCTAATGAATTCAAGCAGAAAAGCCACGTTACTGTGTCTGCCAAAATACTCTTTAAAAAGCTTAGTTCTGACATGATTTACAAATGCTTATGAAAAACATTAAGGGAACTATTCAAAAATTGATCATTTATTACTAGGCTCTTATGCTCATATATTGGGTTTGTTTAAGATTATCCCTTCTAAATTTCTGATATGATTCAAAAATGCCTTTGAAAATCGTCCAGAAAACTTTAAAAATTGACCATCACTAAACAGGCCTTGTTTAAGAAAAACAGGCCTTGTAGACATATGTAAGGCATTTTGGTGTTATAGCTTCAATAAGCACATAACAGAGAAATGTGTAAAAGATTCAGGAGGCAGTGTTTTTCCACATAGCATGCAAATAAATATTTTGGTCTGTTCAATTATATTGGACTACCTGTTACATTTTTTCATCAATATCTATGTCAACATCCTTAACAGCATTCCACAGTGCATTAATTCAATACAGGTTCATCAGTTTATTGGTTTTAACATCTGGGTCTCCCTGGTGGCTTAGGAGTTAAATCTCAGCACTATAACCCTACAGGACCTAAGTTTGACCCCTGACCAGGTTATCCACATGGCACAGCAGACCTCCTGTTTTGCCTGCTCAGCAGTGCTTTTCAGTAGATCTTCATGTTCTGCTCCCCACTCTGTCTCTGGTGAATCCTCTCAGCCCACCCTGCTCCCCTACAGCTCTGGCCTACACCCCAGTTAATGTATGCATATATTAAAAAAATAAATCTTTAAAATCTAACTTCCCTCTGAAGGCTTCCATTTGAGAAAATGTATGCTTAGTAAACAATGCCATCAGGAAAAATATGAAGACTCCAGAGAAGCCTTGCTAACATATGAGGGGTGGTCTAATGCCAATAGATGAAAAAACGCTCATAGCACATTTAATTAGCCTAATTACAAGGTGCACTTGGAGTTTCTTATTAATGCGCTCTGACATATGTGCTACCCTCGCCTTTAAATTTCTGTGGCTACAGTACGTTGAAATGAACTTAGGTAAAATCTAGTTTTCCTCAGCCCCATTCGTTTGGAATGAAGCACCAATATATGCACAAAGTACATGTTCATTTAAAATGTGATAGTCTTCTTAATTGTTCAAGTTTTTCTGCTTGTATTTTGCTAACATAATGTGTTTCTATGATCATTTAGAGACTCAAAGTGATACATCAGAAAATTCTCATTCCATACCATTCAAATAATACTGTTATGAATTAATTTCCAACCCACTAGTATCCACACATCTTTAATCATTCATGCTTCCAGTCTGCCATGTGCTATTTAAGGACAACTCAAAGTCAACTTGATGCTCACTAGCAGGAAGCATGTGATACAGCATGTTCACAGAAAGCATACTAATTTTATTACCTTGTGCCACATGCCAGTAACTATCATACCTGTGTTTGAGATTTAATTCAACAATTTAATGGAAAGAGAAGTATCTGGAACAGAGGATCCAGTGAACTTTTGATACTAAGTTTTATTTGTAAAACAATGAAGGGATTAGTACTGTCTTTAAAGAAAATTTCAGTATCAGGAATATGTGAAGAGCTGTTTGTACTTCAGAAATTCAAACTGTACACATTCCCTGAAACTTTTCTAGGTTATAGCTGAAATAAAAATTTTCACACACCCTATTCCATGAGGACATTTTTAAATGGTCAGTTTTGAGACTAAGGTTCAAAGTTGAAGAAGAGGAATATTCTTGTCTCTTTTAACTGAATGGATAGAGCACGTTTACTGAATATATCCCTAAAATAAGTGTACATGACTCCTTTTGAAATTTGGCAATGAATTTGTGTATCATGTTTCTCTTCATTGTGGAGAAGAGGATAGTGAAGGCAGCTTTCTGCCAAATAATTGTTACTGTAGTTTATCAGGTTAAAATGTATTTATCTTCAAATGAATGGGGATGAGTTGGAACTGGCAATATTCTACCTAAGTTTTAGATCTGGAGGGATACTCTTCCACATTATTACTTAAAAATCTGTAATATTAATAGACACAGATGAATAAGCTATCATTCTTTTTGTAATAGAACAAATGCTAGATTTAAAAATAAAAGGTTAATCTGGATTAATCTGTATGAAGTCACATTCAAAAATAAATGAAAAAAACTTATTATTTATTGGCCAGCTGAATGTCCCCAAGAAGAGGTATAAAATATAACTTTACAGTAATATTCAGCTCTATTGAATAAATAAATAGGGATGTGGAAATGTACCAATGTTCTTTGGGTAAACACAAAGAAACTACTGATAAACTAATAAAGACTAATGCATCAGCATTAAAAATCCAGTAGATTGATAATTTAAAATAAAAAATTACTTTGCCCTAGGATGTGCCTTGGTAGAATTAAAGGCGCATTTATACATGTAAAAAAAAAAAAAAACTACTTAGAAAATGATTCTTGTTGCTGCTGGCCAATATAAATGGTAGCGCCCAAATTATGTCCTCCACTTTGAGACATGTGAACTACCTTGCCTAAGCAAAGTATTAATCATTTAGATTTTTGCCTGTTTATTCACATAATACAGTTTTGAGAACTTCCTTAAGAGAAACAGAACTAATTGTACCTCTTTTGGAGGGCAGGAAAGGTATGGATAATGTTACTGAACCAGCCTAATCTCAGTGAACATGTATCTAACACTATACCATACAGTTTCAGGCTCTGAAAAGAAGTATGCTTGATGTTGATACATACTCACACCCCAGGCTCTGAAAAGAAAAATTATGCTACACACACACACACACACACACACACACACACATCCTCTGGTAAATAAAGTTTTGAAATCCCTTTAAATATATGAACACACTCCTCAGAAGATTATTAAATCTATTTTAACATTAACACATTTCTTACAATCACTCTTCAATTTGTCAAGTGTTAACTGTACTGGACATCTATCCACTGTACCCCTACTATTAAAATGACATTATAAGGTAGTGTCTATCTTATATGTACTTACATACCCACATTTAGATATATATGTGCTTTAGACTTTCATCATGTTACTCTTTTTAATTTAATAGGTTTGACAACAAGAAGGTGAATAAAATGATTTCTAATTTGGTGGGAGCACCTGTGAACCACAATTTCAGAGGAATTTGATATAAATGCTTATGGTGTAGAAAGGACAAAGATACTTGCCGAGATTCAATTATATGATTTCTGAACCTGAGTAAAATCTTTCCATGATAACAAATATTGTCATTGGCAGCTGCTTCTAGGGATATTTATAATCCTAAAACTGTAGAAGTATGCTTTAGGAATTTCTTCTCCCTCTGCTGAAAAATCAATTTTTTTAATGCTGCCCGAGTTCAACTGCAGAATTTCCAACCCCTCTTATTTTTCCATTTTTATCTGTTTTAGTCTTGGTGCAATGAAACGAACAAAAATACTTTCAACATGTTAACCTTTTAAAACTTACCAGCTAGATTTGTGAATGGGAATGGTTAATTAAAATAAAAATATGTTCTGTTCAGCATGTGAAACAAATAGGTGAGCTACTGTTTTTGATCATGTATACTAAGAAGGGAGCTAAATACACCCCAGCAGACAGGCGTGGGAAAGATCTGTGGGTAAATGTCCATTCGGGGTCATACATAAAAGTGCACATTAACTACTTGAAAAAATTCACATTTATTTACTGTCAAACCGTGTTAAACTTTACACTGGATATTAGTGATGGGCTCATTATTAACAGGTTTACACAAAGGGATGAAAAGAAAAGCAGAATTTTGCTGAAACAATTTACATTTCATTAGAACTTTATCATAAAATAAATTAATTACTAAATATAGGCAGAAGGAATATGGAAGAGTAATATTTATGTTTTATTTTATTTTTTAAAAAAGAATAGGCACCTTTTGTTCACTAGAAAGTTGGTGAGAAGTGCCTAGTGTCCAAATCTTTGCCCTCTGTTCAAGAATAAACAGAGGTTGACACACAATCTTTTCTAGATTTCACCACGTTTGTGCAAGGCATGGCATAACTGGCTTCAAAGAGTTTTCTCCCCATAAAACACGTTCTTTTGGCAATGAGAAATTTAAATGTAAGAATAAAGACTAACTTGTCAAAGCAGAACACTGTATACAGTGGAAAATAAGTGGAAATGGGTAGAACTTACCAAGACAAAGCGTAAGAAAAAACATTTCATAACATATGTGCAACCAAGAGCTTTTCACAATATTTTCTTCAAACTCTTTAAAATTATTTTAATGACAATTATATTTCAGTTGGACACAAATGTATTTATTTTACCCTAGCAATAGAACAAAATATAATTTCTGTAGCCATTTCTCATGAGAATAGTTCATTGTACAGTTGAGGAAACATATGAAATAAGGCCTGTGGCTTGATTGCTAGTGGTTAAACATGTTTTCAATCTTTGCCTTAATGTAAAAGATTTGCAGTGAACTGCAAACTACTGCAGAATATCTCTCCTGCTTTTCCAAGTCTTGTCAGGAACAGTAAGGTACAGTAAATTTGTCCCACAGGATTTTAAAGCCTACGTCTTGTATATAATACAATGCAGGCCTACAAAAATGGTGCAGCCATATTTACAAATTTAGTTCACAAACTGCTGCAGTAAAATGGCTGGAAAGTTTGTTTTGCTTGTTTCACAATTTTTCTAAACAGCAGCAGAATCTTAAAATACCTGGTTGGCATCTCTTTTCTTTGTAACAAATAATTCATTTTAGTATACTCTGTATATACAAAGTTTTCGCATGTTTTATAAAAATTCACAGAACTGCAAGGTTCAGTCATCTTTTTTACACTGGAGAACCACAGGTCAACAGAGCCGTCTCTTCAGGCAGAGGTGGAGGGATCTGCGCCGGGCCAAGGGAAAGGAGTCTTTATTTCTTAATACTTGTATGTGGCCCCTGGAATTCCTTAGCTGCACTATTAAAGACTTGTTACCAGCTGCATCTGTCCTTCTCTAACATCTCCTTCCGGGATACACCCTTCTTTGTTAATGGGGATTATGTAACCATCACTATTGCCCCTGCTGATCTGGTAGCACATCTGAAGCTGACGGCCAGCTCCGAGATTTGGCATGCTTTTATAGTAAATGTCCTCATTCTCACTCCTCCTGGAGGGAGAGAGGTCCTCTTCTATGTCGGGGCTGCTCTCCGGGTAGGGAGAGTCTCTAAGGTTGGGCATGCTTGTGTAAAGAGAGTCTCTGTTGGGGGATTGCAGGTGGTCCTCCGCCTCAGCGGTCAGTTGGGAGACATAGCTGTCAGTCCCCTCGGCCTTCACTTTCTTCTGGGGCTGGTACAGAAGGGAGTGAGTCCGCTGAGGAATGAGCGGTGCCTCGAGTTCTTTGTGATGGAGCTCCAGCCCTGGGTTGTCGCCGTGCATTAAAGATGAAGCGTCCGCCACAATAGCATCATCTTCGCTGCTGCTTCCGCCAATCACAGGTTTGACTGGGAGCGCGAGCTCCAGGTTGTGAGTCTTGCTGCTGCCCCGTAGGTTGTTGTGCACTAACTCTGAAATGATCATTTTCTCAAAAGCAGTATCATTCAGACTTAGTCCACAGTCCACGACTTGCACGCTGTCATTATAGTCCCCTTTGCGCAGTGAGTAGCTGTTGTTAAAATTACCATTTAGCGGTAGAGTATCCATGGCACTTGTATCCCTGGCATTGTTCAGTGAATGTCCTGAAACAGAAAAGGGGGGTTGTCCATTACTGCTTCGGTTCCTTCCTAAGCAACCTTTACTTCTTTTGTACAAGACTTTTTAATGTCGTTCAGGACAAAGTTGTATTTGAAAGCTAACACTTGAGAAGTGCCAGGCTTTCCAGCATTCCCAACTATAAACAGTTGCAACCCCTTACTTAGATAACAGGAAAAAGTCTGAAAGAATAATACTGTTTTCAAGGGAGGGAAGATGACTTACAGAATATTTCTTGCTGAATTTTGGGGACACAGTAGTTATGAATTGATTTTTGGTCAAATCTCTGACACGCTTACAAAGAAGACTTCACTCCATGCCCTTGCATAGTTAATGCAAAGCAATTCATTAGTGACATTTACATTTTCAAGTACGAGACTATGGTTTATAAAAATAAAATTAACAGAATTTGTCCTAAACAACACTAAATTAAAAAGGAATAAGTCACATACAAAAACCAAAGGCAAATGTACAACATAAACCCACATAACTGGCAAGCAACTTATTAAACAACATTCTAACATTTCCTTTTTCTGGAGATGAAGTAAAAAAAAGAATGAAAAAAATGGACAGATACAAAGAATTCATGTTAAACAAAGACAGCCATCTCTCACACTGACTGCACCAGGGTCGCACAAGCACCATCCAAAAACACGACAGACAGCAGGTGGGATGACTCACTTTGGACAACTCACATCATGTCTGTCTGCTCAGGCTATCTGGCCTAAGAGTAGCTGATATATAAAAGAAAGTAAAATGATTTATTGTAACATGATGAAGAATTTCTAAGCTTCTCAGCAACTTAGTCAGAGCAAGGGTTCAACAAATTAAATTACCAGCAAAAGCAGCCTTTTATTTTTCATTTAATGTCTCTTATTATTTTGATTTTTTTTTTTTTTTTGTAATATAACTCTTTCTAATAGCAATGGCCCCAGGCTCCTAATGGTCAAAGTTTGCCTGCAGCCCTGCAATCTGCATCAGTCACAGTGACAGCACCGAATGAACCAGCAGAGTCTACTGTACGAGACTGGCCCACAGACACCATGGGCATGGAGGTTAAACGCAGAATGTTAGAGATTTCTTAAGTATGGGTCACAGAAATTAAACCAAGAATAAATATTAGCTATGGAATGGGAAAAGGGTGTCAGCCTTGGCTAATATATTTTTATCTCTAAAGGAATGAAAGATTGGATAAGTCTGCTGAAGATATGAAGAGAGGTTTAGGAGGAAAAAAAATATGGTAACATGCTCTCTTTGAATCAGAGTTGTATTTTCTACAGACACATAAACATGTAAACTAAGACATCACAGTGCTTTGCAGGCAAATGAAAATAAAAGTCTTAGAGAAAATTAAATGGTCTGCACATGGAAAGTTAGGTTTCCATTCATTCTCAAATCCTAGAGAAAGAAAATCACTTGTCTACAGATAGGTCTGAAAAAAAAAAGAATGAAATGATGTTAGTGAAATGAAACTGACCACTGTGAGGCTGCTGCATTGTATGCAAGGCTTGGAGGAGTTTAGAAAAAGATTTTATTCTTGGAAAAATAGAAAATTTCCCTTTTTTAATGTTCACTCCACTCTTAAAGCTGCAGATTATCCTAGAAAACTCAACCTGATTAACTGTTTGCTAGATTATCATTAGCAGAAAATGGGGGAGTTAGATTTGTTGGTAACTCGTGTTACTTTAAAAACTTTGATCCAACCTCCACAATTGAAAAACTGGCAGTTTAATTTATCACGCTCCACAAATAACAAAACGAAGTCAGAGAGCTGTTGCGAAGGCTTCCTTTAGTTTGGTTGACATAATTCTCTAGCTTTATACATTCACATATGCAGCACAGCCTTTATTTATAAGCTCTACCACTAGAAAACATTTGGTGTTTCAAGTTATAGGTGACACATGCTAGTATTTGTTTCCTCTGCAGAGGTTCGATTTGTCACTTTTCTTTCTTTCTGTTGTTGCTTAATAAAATATAACACAATATACTGGATAACCCAAAAGGTGTTTTCTATGATATACTGCAGATTTAAGCACATCTTTGACTGGTTTTGAAGAGGCAACTTTTTCTGCCCAAGTTCAGGTAATTCACTTGAAGACTTTCCACAGCCTGTAGCAAGATTACTGTGGGAATGCAGAAATGATAAGTCAATTATTAAGCATTCTGGTTGACAGTACCTCAGGCTTTAAAGAGCAAATTATTTCAGCATTGCATATACTTAAAGTATGGACAGCATTTGCTACAGACCTCTATTACTGACAACAGACAGCACAGATAAGGTGTACTGTTGGAATTTGGTGACATTTTAGTTGCAAATTGTGAACCACTTGCCCGCTGAGTCTACTTCATGACTGCTAGTTAATGTTTTAATTGTGCCGGTTAAAAATCATGCTGAAAAAATTTACATTTGATAGGCAAAGTTAAGTTTTACTCCCATACTTGTCTCTCTGTAGGTTGCTAGAGGAAAGCATAAGGAAAGTAAGAAAAAACAAGAGAATGAAAAGAGAAGCTGCAGTTACGTTAAAAAAGAATTTTAAGAAGAAAAAAAAAAAACGGAAACGAAGTTCTGTGTTTAATTTAGTGGTAAATATCAATCACAAATAAAGATTATAAGCTAGCAGTAATCAGGCATTATCTTTACCAAAATCTTGAACATTCTGTTAAGATTAAATACATATGCCTTAAAAAAAATAAACTATTAGAAAACATTATAATATAGTTTGGGTTAGTGACACTCACCCTCCCTCCCCATAAAAATACTGCAGCTATAAACTGACTGATATTAACTTACTGTCAAAAGTTTTTAAGAAAAAAAAAAAAAGAAAAACAAAGCTGCACTATACTATAGTTTGGTTACATTGATAAAGCTGGATGCAGTTTTCTAAACCTAGGCATCCAAATTATCTTTATTAGCTAATTCATTCCAGAAGCAAATTCTGTCAGCAAGCTTTAGAGTCAACTGAACAGTATATTACATAGATAGGATACCTCTAAATGATATAAATCTTGAAGATGGGCTCTCGGACCATGTGATGTCAGTCCTGTAATAATATATTAAGATTTATGCCACCTGTGTCAAAAACATGGATAATTATTGGTAAATACTATCATAACTAAATTTTTACTATAATATAGTGCAGTTTTAGAAGCCTGGCATGGGCAATACCATAAATCTTTTTTAATTGAGAAATTAAGGGGGTTGTAATAAATATATGACGACTTGAGTTGTATTCTAGAAATGGGCAAAGAGCAGAGCTCTTTTTAGCAGCAAAGAAAGGTAGTTTTATTTGTAAGTATAAGCACACCTGGTGAGTTAAATACAGGAGCTGAAGGGGCATTACATACAACTGTTTCAGCGAGCAATGTGTTATAGGGGTTGTTAGTGCCGTGGGGTCGAAGAAGAGGGTTTGTTAGTAGGTAATTGCCAGTCATTCCTAAAGCAAAGAGACAAAAAACATACATCAGTTCTCTTATTTAGTGTTACAGTTGCAGTAAAGTACGTTTTGTATTCATCAAGGGTAGTGGACACGTTGACAACGGAAAATCTGCTGAAATTTTCAGACTGTATTTGAACTACTAATTTGAAGGAGAAAGGGGAGAGGGAAGTTAAATTTCAGTAATTCACAGGTGCTTTCTAAGTCCCCCAAGTAAACACCTGCTGAGGATGACATTTACTAATTTATACAAAATCACTGTTAAACAAAAATGGCAATTAAATGCACAGAGATCAACATTATGTTTCAAGATGTTACTGCTTAATATTAAAAACCTACCCACTAAGGCCCAGAAGAGGGAATCTCAAACTTTCAGAATTTACAGGTGTGGGATTATCCCTCATGAAAACATCTGTGTTAATACCAACTTTGAAACAAGCAGGAGGCAAAATAACTTTCACAAACAGGTAAAAAGTATGACACATTGCAAAAAGCTTCTCTTAGTAAATGCAAGAGCATACATGCTGGGTGGGGGAAAGACTAGGTGTAATGAATTATTAGACTGTTCACAGATTCTATATAACCAGAATTTTCAGTCGGTAACCTTATTTGCCAGGTTTCAATTCAAAATGAGTCAATGAATAATTCATTTCCTTTTTAATAGTCATCTTAACAGAATAAGGTAAAACATCAGAGCAATGGAATAAACACACATTTTAGTCACTCTAATTGATAAATTACAAACCTTTCAATACTTATCAGACATATATTTTGCATAGCTAATGTAATTTGGCTAAAAATATTTTAAAATTCAAGTCGGTTTTGATGCCATACATATTCCTTTTTTCATTTTAAACCAGAATCTCATCAGAGTAATGTCAACAATGAAAAATGTCCTTAATATTTCATTGTGATAAAATATAACATGTATTATATTACAAATCAGTATATCAAAATGAAATTACCTGGATAAATTACCTTTCCAAGGGTAAAATTACCTTTCCAAGGGTGTGTGTGTATGTATGTATGAGTGTGTGTGTATATATATATATACATATATATGTATATATGTATATATATATATACACAATTGCATATGGTTTTACACAGTAAATTGAAATTTAGTAAGCTTGCACTCAAGAATATTGTGTATATACACGTGTAGCCTTATCTTCCTAAATTATCTTATTTTCACCTTCTTTTAAGTAAGCAGTATAATGATTATGATAAAATTAAAGTTGTAGCTACAGACATAAAAACCAATAATTCAAAAGAAAAATTACTTTGTAAATTCGCATGTATTTTATTTATGAAGATTGAGTTTTGGTTATTTATTTTTTACCTGTTAAAAGAAATGTAAAATATAAAAAAAAATTACAATAGTAATTGCTATTACAAAACTAGCACTGTTTAATGTAAATAATAGTTATACTAATTATATAAATGCTTTAAGAAAACTCGTTAAGTGCCTGTTATAAAGAATAAACTTGTCTTCTCTAAGAAAACATTTTAATATGGCAAAGTAGTGTCAGTAATTTTTCTAGCCTCATTCTGTTATTATGGAAAATATACTATTTATACTACATTATAGAATAAAAAGAATTTATATGTATTTTTCGAAGTTGACTCAAAAAGTTTGAGAGCTGTGATATAAACCCATTTCAGAGAAAAATGCAGCATTTTCTCTAGAATTATTGGAAGTTGGCAAATGATACAAAATTTATATTGTAAACTCAAATTTTCCTAGTAACTGACCTTGATTAAGTGTTGAAGTGCTATTGATGTCACCTGAGATAAAAGAAGATTCAGATTGTTTTCTCACAGTGTCATTCCACATCCTTCTTATACGACTCTATCAATATAAAATAGCAAGATATATGTTAGTTTCCCCAGGTTACCTTATTAAAGACACAAAAGATTTTCCCTAAGAAATCTGTGTAGGATTAGCTGTTGGTCTTTTCAAAAAATGTTGAGTTGATTTTGATCTAAAATTAAGGAAATCTAGACTGTTCTGTTGCTTTTCTATCAAGGGCTATTTAATCTTCCACTCGTAAAAAAGTTTTGTTTAATTTCTTTTATGTGGAAGTTGGTGATTACTAAACAAATGTTTAATGAGTGACTGCTCTAAGCTCAAGGTATCAAATGTTAGAATATGCTTCTTAAAGAAGTATAACCTCTCAGAAGAGGATGTTCACACCTAAAAAAGAAGCATCTTGAAGAAATCTTTGGGAAGCAATTAAAATACTAAAAAGCAAGTATTTGCTATCTAGATCATTCTAATGAGGAGACAATTAATGCATCTAAACAGAACATGTCTCAATAGGCTTTCTATAAAGAACGTTAATTAAAGATGCTGTCAAATTCTTTGTTACCTGTGTGCCAGAGGAATACCGAGCGCTGGTTCTGGTCGCTGATGCCTTCACTGAACTGTGAGGGCTCTCAGTGGGGAGGCCGCCACAGCAGTATGAGTGTCTGAAGCACTTGCCGTATTCTTTCCGTACCTGTTATGAATAACCAGAGGACTGGGCATTAATATGAATACATACTTCTCTTTCTAATGAATGAAGCAGTGGAGATAAATAAGTTCTATCACCCATTTTTATGTAGAAATAAGCTGAATTTAACAAAATCAAAGTTCTGCTGAAACAGTATCAGAGAAGTATCTCTGTTCACTGGACTGGCTAGTAGAATTTTCAAAATGTGATGTAATCTATGGCAAAGCCTTATACGTTGTTACTATCATGCAATATTATAAATTAATACAATGGTAATATTTTTAAAGTCTCATTTTATCTAGACACCTGATAACCACAATTTTACATTTCATGCTAAGAACAGAACAAAAAATTAGTATTTTCCTTGTCTAATCACAATTACTCATAAATCAATGATTTAAGTTGATATGCTTCATGTCCTCTTAGGTAGGTCAACACATGAACTTCTTTCACTGGACTGCAGTTTTGTGGGTAACCTCTGTATAACAACAAGACTCCTTTGGCGTAAGAATAAAGAAAAGAATTTTGATACATATGCCATTAATTAGGATGGAATGTTTTCCTCATTTTCTGATGTGTATTATAGCTTTAACATCTAGTACAGAGCATCTAAGATGCCTATTCACTTCATTAGCACACAAGGGAACTATTTATGCAATTTCCATTCACATTAATGAGTTACCCATGTAATTTCCCTTTTCCCTGAAGCTTGGATATATGAATAGATAGACAAGCTGTTAGGCTACATAAAAGTTTAAAGTAAACTTGAAAAAGTGAAGTCCGGCCCTCCCTGGTGGCGCAGCGGGCTAAAGCACAGCACTGAGAATCTGAGGCCGCTTCCACATGAGTTTGATTCCCGCCTGCCACCTGCCCCGGAGGTGACCACATGGCGAGCCAGACCTCTCCTGACCCGCCCGCTGCTTCCCTCAGCAGTGTACTTCGTAGATCTGCCTGTTCTGCTCCCCACTCTGTCTCTGGTGAAGCCTCTCACCGCCCCTGAGCCTCTGGCCTGTACCCCAGTTCTGTATGAATAAATAAATAAATCTTTAAAAAAAAAAAAAAAAGTGAAGTCCAAACAATTGCTAAATAATAAGGCCCTTGCCTAGAGACGAGGCACAGAACTGGAAGAGTGCTGGGTTCTGCTCAGCTATACCATCTTATAAACATGGTGAGCTGTGGGACACAGACAGACTTTGAAATTACAAGAGAAGTTGCATAGAAAAATAATTTTTTCTAATAGGTTACAAAACCCTTCAAAGACTTTTTCCTCCTTGACAGCTCCAAGCTTAGTATCTTCCTGAAAATCCATGACTTTGACGGTTATTTCTTGCAAAATGAGAGTTAAAATCACTAGATGATCTTTTAAATCTAAGTGCACTTTGAACTGCTATTTCCTATTTCCATCCTTCCAGATTGATTTAATTACACCTATTAGAACAAAAAACAATGAGGCTGAACTTTCAAAGCATTTTCTTTGCCTAAATATGCTCACTCATTTTAACTACATCATTTTATATCATATCCACAGCAATTTATCCTGGCAGTATCCAATACGACATAGCCAAGACTAGGTAGAACATGTTCAGAAGAAAACATAATTGTTACTTTAAAAAGCACAGCAAAACCTCTTATCAATTAACACATATAATGGAGGAAAGGATGACATCCTCACCCTTCTTCTGCTAAGTTTATGCTTTATATACAAAACATTTGATAGAAATTGTGATGTGATTATTATATGCATGTATAAAAAATGCTCATGCATTCATTTTGTAAGAAACATATAAAACCAAAAGCAATTACTAAGGTTATAACCGTGAAATGTTGATAAAGCTAAAGTTCAGGTTTATTAAATAACACATGATACCTCATAAAAAATTTCTGTACATTTAATGGCTATTAACTGCTCTGAAATGCTGTATAACCAAGACAATGGCAATCAGAATGGTATTTTATCCAAATAATACCCTCCGGTGTTGGTTTTGCCTAATGCCTATATTGCTGTGAATGTACATTATCTGTCAGTATTGCACATTCCACTGTCATTATCTCAAAATTATAGCTTATCCAAAACTGATGGAAGTAACAACACTATCATCTTGTCAGGGCTGAAAACATAATAGTTTTCACTTTCACAATTCTATTTCTCTGTTCAATTCAGTGACCAACTAGTAATAACAGAATAAAAAGACTACATTAGCTATGCAGACAGGGTAAGGATGATACCTAGTGAAACACATGGAAATTCTAAACTTAAATAGCAGCTCTTTTCTTAGGTTTCTATCTTCTTACAATACATCAAACTTTTTTATCTTCAACTTTAAATTTTGAATCTTTTTTTGTGACTCCACTTAACATAAAATCAGAAAAAAAGTAGTAAGATACGATGTACTAAATTATTGGGTTTTACACCTTTTAAAACTACTCAAAACAAACAAAAAAATAGTGCTAATTTTTTTGTATGTCTTGTGCTTCTAAAATTAAAGTCACATATTAAATTTCACTTTGGATTGCCACATTTCTTTTCTGAAGCAAAGAATGATATTCTTTAAACTTTTATTTATCTTGCATGCCCTTTTGCAAAAAGCGTGTATTTCTGTAGACCATTCACAAAGAAGAACCTTTATAATTTATAACATTTCCAAATTGAGATCCCAAAATGATTGGAACTGGCAGATATTATATCTGAATTTCCAGACAAGCATTACAACTGCTTTAGAATTAAAAATCTGTTATTTATTAGTATATGTATCTTAAAATGTTCTCTATTATATTTATTATTTTTTTCAATCAAAAAACAAGCAAGTAGAAGTCCCTGGCTGTTTTCACTTACTTTCTTTTGGAGAGCACAGTGAAAGATGAAAATGAACACTCCCTGGAAAGCATTAAAGATGGTGAAGAGATATGCCATCACAATAGTCTCCTCATTAATAAAAAGCAACCCAAATGACCACGTTAGGCCAAGAAGACATAGAAGAGCGAAAGCGCCAAGCACCCAAGACCTGAAAAAATAAAGTGAATTTTATTTACAAGTTCAAAGAGAAAACAGCACACATCACATTTAAATATTAACACATCAGGAGTAGCAGTAGACTTTCTCTATGTTCATATTCAAATTCAACAGCACTTGGGCTTTAAACCTTTCATTGACTAAAGAAAGAACAATAGCATTTAGTACTGCAGCTTCCAGTGAAACAGCAACAGCAGGTATGACCTTTTCTTACTCCAGAATAAACAAGGTATCAGAACTCTATTAAAGTACAAGGTGCAAAACGTCCCCCATTGACTCTATCGTCTTTTATATGCATTTTGGTAACAGAAATTCAGGAGTCCTTAATGAGTTTACTCCTATATATTTATTCCTGTGGTGTACTCATGACACTGAATAATGTGACACATACAGAAAGGTTAAATGGCAGATAATCACTTAACACCTAATCTTCACATTCTAATAAACTAATCTTAGGTGAACCTAAGGTTTTATAACTAAAGCATGAAGAAGCCTAGCTGAAATGAGACAAAAACATGAGAACAAGGTCAAAATAAAATAATTTTGGAGAGATTTCATCATGAGTAGCTTAAGGAGAAAAGAACTGTAGAAAATAGGACGGAATGAGAAGGATTTAAAGTCAGTGCATTCCATGTCTAACTAATGATCTTACTTGATAAATGGCTTATTATCTTCATAGCTAGAAAGCATTATAAGCAGAAAAGAGAAACAAAATTATTAGACAGAATTAAAATAGAAAGTAATAAGAAAGCATTTATATATTTTATAAATTAGTCAAAATTAAGAAAGTCAAAATGCAGAGGCAAGCAATTAAAAAATAAAGGCATACTATAGTTTAAAGGTACTACAGCAAATTAGATATTCCAAAACAATTATAAAAATTAAGGATAATTCATGATATTGACGGATTTGTAAAAAATATAAATCATGCCATAAATTTGTTAATGCAGGGTTCTACCTTACCCAGGTAAGTCCGTATTATAGTAGCCATCACAAACACGGTAATTACTGGTGTAGATGAGAAGACAGAAAGAGGAAAAGGAAGAAAAGAGAGAGATGCTAAAGATTAGCTCTCTCTCTTACCATGCAACATGCAATGAAGCTGGCACTAACCTATCTAAAACATCTATTTAAAAAAAAATATCCTTACTATAAATCTGCCATTTTTTTACATTAAAAGTATTTTTTTCACAATCCTATCATAACCAACTTGAATAACACCTCCACAAATATTAAGAATCAATTTTTAAAAAGCTCTGAAAAATGCTTACATAAGATGACTTAATGAATCAACAGATATAAATTTTTTGTTAATTAGAAAGCATTTTTCCATTGATAGGTTATTGCATTTTATTCAACACTGAGATAAAATAAACATTAATTTAATGATTATGAAAACAATAGATAATCTCCAAGTTAACAACAGTAATAGAGCAAATTCTCTTAGGAAAACAGGATTAGAAGTGGAAACTGCTCAGAATCCTTAAATCGGAAAGCATTTAACAAAACAAACTTAATATAATCATATCAGCCATGCAAACAGGAAGATCACTTTGAACTGCATTTTAAATTCAAATGAAATTGCTCCAGTGTTATGGAATTTCCACAAAGCCACTGAAACAATTCCTTGGCTTTAGATCAAAACAGGAATTGTTATCTAATTTTTGACCAGTGTCTGTGATATGGAAACAGACAGACTCAACCTTGATCAGTAAAACTTCATTCTGAATAATTTCTACAGTTGATAGAAGGCATTCATGTTTTCCCTGTGGAGAATATCTTTCACTTAGTTTGTCAAGCACTAAAATGAAGATACAAAACACTTACTTAATGTTTTCCAACCTGCTAGAATCTGGTTTCAAAGTGTTTGAGTGCTTCACCATTTTGCACAACGTGATCACCAAGAAGATAATATTTAGCTGTCATAACAAAGAAAGAAAGAATTAAACCATTGTGAACAAAGAGTAAAAAAATGAGTAAGCTTTTTTTTTTTCTTCCTGCAAATAGATTTAGGGAATTAATGCAGTGAAATATAAATATCAGCGACATGGGTACATGGTAAACATGGATTCAATTTTACTTTACACATGCAATGGTCAAGCTGAGTCTAAATAAAACATACTCTGGCTATGTATGATCAATTTTTTTTAATAGACCATTTGACATGAAATTGCAACCTCATTAAATCAGGATAATGTGGTGATGATTAAATAAATTAGAAAACCTAAATTAGTTTCTTTAGCTAGAGGTACTCCAGGGCCTGAAAGCTATCTAATGGAAACATTGAAGTGAATTTCTTAGGAAGAGTATTCATATCATGTAGCTTAAAATGGAAATATGGCTGGATTTTGGAACCCAAGACTTAAAGATCTAGCCTTTGATTTTGATTGCTTAAATGAATATAATTATATTTAAATAACACATTCATAAGTCAACTGTGAGGATCAAAAGAATTAAAATGACCAAAAATATTAATTTACTATATAAAATAAGAACAAATTTTAAACCAGGAGGAACATGTACATATTTGGTATCCAAGTATTAGTAGTCACCAGTAGGTTTCTTCTCCTATTTTTATATAGCATGGAGGTAGGTGAAATTTGAATAAAGGCTGTTTGGAGTCCCTCTATACATTCATCTGTGCAAAGAATCCAGTTGCAAAAAGTGGAGAGGGGAGGGACTTAGCCAGAATGGAAGAAAGGCTTGGGAGTTCAATGTAAGTGACTCAAAAGAAAGGAGCTAAAGAGAGATAAAGATTTGTGATTTGCATTTGCTTCTGCACACACCTGGCAGAATGCTAAGTGGAGGGGAAGTAGTTCCATTTTCATGTTCTATATAAAAAAAATAAAAGTAATACTGTGCTAGATTTTGTTTTTAATGTTTTATTTGCTTAACACTTTAAGACTGTTACTTAAAAGAGATAAGATGAAGTTAATTCAAGCCCAAATGGTATATATTCAGAAATGGTATATATCTGTAAAAAGGATATACTATTGTATTTGGGAATAAAACAGATCGTTAGTGGTAAACAACATAAATTTGTTATAGAAACGTGATCACTTTCACTGAATTACAACATCATGTGATGAAATGATAATTTATTTTACTCATCGCTACTCTGGATTTCAGAATTAGGAAAAATAATATAGGGCAATAAATAAAGTTCCCATGGCCTTTGTAATGATGAGCTTAAGGAACAGATTGAAATCTTTAATCTAAGCTGTTTATTAGTCATTTCCTCTATTGTGCTTTATTATTTCTCGTAGATGTAAAATTTCCTCTTAAGGGACAAAAAGTAATTAATGGGCATAATTTGCAACTGGAGATAGTACTCTATCACTTGATATTAATTACTCAAGGACAAATGAAGTTCTTTGTTTAAAAAGATACTTAAAAATACACTTCTTAAAATATTTGTCTGCCAAACTTAAGTACATTTTAAGAAACAATTTTATAGCTTCATATTTTGAAGACTGTTCCAATTGGTCACAACATAAATCAGTATTTACATTTTTAGAGACTTTACAAGATGATACATTTCATATAACGAATATTTAATTGCCCTTCTCTATGCAAGATATGTTTGTTGTATTGAGTTAGATACAATTGCTGCTTTTGAGAAATTAATCCTTCCAGCTGTGTAGTAAATACGTGATTTCCTTTTTAAAAACCACGTAAAGTATATCTGTTTTTTAAGGCAACATCAACAGTATTTTATTTTTTATTTAATAAAACCAGTAAACTTTAACTGGCAAGGTTAGAAAATGAAACCAATATAAACTCTAAATACCCTAAATAAACCAAAACAATGTAAACAAACTGACCACAATTCAGGTAAGAATGGTTGCTAAATTTATAAAGAATTAAACTCCACTAAGCCTTCCTCCCATTCTTTTCAAGTGCCCTAGGAAAATTACTTATTAGTTTTCTGAGCCTAGGGTTAGCTTTCCCCTCTTTTCTTAAACAAATTTCTAAAGCACACTTGTTGTTCATTATTTAAGCATATTAATTATCCCTGCAGGAGTAAAGTCATAGTAACAGTAGTAGTAGCAGTAGTATTAAAGTACAGGAAAAACATCACTTATTATCCATTATAACATAGGGATGATAGGAAAATAAGCACTAAAAAATGTGGATGTATAATTATGCTATGAAAAAATAATCAGAAAATGTAAATTCCTATGCAAATATCTTCAATTAAGAAAACCAGATAAAAACCAATTATTTAAAACCTAACATATCTTCTAATACAGTTGAAATAAAATGAAATCTACTGGCATAAAAACAGATTTGAAGCTTCAATATAATTCACAGATCTTTTCTGGCTAAGACTGAGGACTAACAAAGGTGAATGTGCCACCGAAAACATATCTCCTGAGTTTTTTTTTTAAATATTAGTTTCTTTCTAGTTATAAATATTATGGATTCACAAGACACAAAGTTCAGAGTATACAGAAAATCACAGGGGGGAATAACCCACAACAATATCCTGTCATCCTATTTCTAGAAGGAGAGGGCAACTCTGGGTATCCATTTTACAAATCTGACATGTTAGGTATCTCATCAAATATTACTTAAGTTTATGTAATGTCAGTTCTGAGATTCAATATACCCATGATCTGGCTCCATAATTCAGTATTTCCAATAAAATTAACCTTATATTAGGGAGATGCAAATTAAAACCACAATGAGATACCACTTCACCCCAGTGAGAATGGCACATCTTCAAACAACTAGCAACAACAAATGTTGGCGAGGATGTGGAGAAAAAGGAACTCTCCTGCATTGCTGGTGGGAATGCAAACTAGTACAACCACTATGGAAAACTGTTTGGAGGTTCCTCAAACTGCTAAACATGGAGCTTCCCTACAACCCAGCAATCCCACTCCTAGGTATCTACCCAAGAGACACAAAAACACTGATTGAAAAAGATACTTGTACCCCCATATTTATTGCTGCTTTATTTACAATTGGAAAAACATGGAAGCAGCCCAAATGCCCAAAAGTAGATGACTGGATTAGAAAGATGTGGTACATATATACAATGGAATATTACTCAGCAACCAAAAAAGAGAAACACATGTCTTTTGCAGCAACTTGGATGGAGCTGGAAAAGATCATGCTTAGTGAGATAAGCCAGAAAGAGAAAGAAAAATACTGGATGGTTTCACTCATAGCAGGAGTATAATGGACCAGGCGAGAAAATAACAAAAATAATGAACAACTATATACCAGAGACATTCTGTGGGGGTGGAGTGGGGAATGGGATCAAAAACGGGGGGGGGGGGTTGAGGGGGAAGGGAGGGAAATGCACGGGACTATGGTGGTGGCACAGGGGTGATTTGGTGATGGGAAACCGGCAGGATTACAATTGAGATGGAAAAAAAAAATGTGCAAAATGATGTAAAAATAAACTTTGTAATAAATAAAAAAAAAACTTATATTTTGGGTTAGAGAATAATGGAATCTAACAATGATCTACTAGTTTTATATATTTTAAAAAAAAGTTCAAATCCTATAAAGAGGAATACAATGTAGAAATCACTTAGCTGAATTAGAAGGTACAACAATTATAAAACTAATGTATATAGTTTCAAAGAAATAAATACTGAATGATTCACAAAGTGTTTTTCAAGTGACTTCTCTCTGAAGCAAGTTGCCAGAATAACTGATTCTCTATTTCCTTTGTAAAGCAATACCATTCCCTAATTGGCAATGGTGAAAATGCAAATACTTTCCTATTCCCATTAGTAAAACTGTATGCTTTACAACAGTTACACGTGTTTGCACAAACCCATAAAATCTGGGCACACACACACAAAAAGCTGCTATTCCTAACACACTTAAAATTAAATGTCTCACTGGGTTCTCCCTGGTGGCACAGGGGCTTAAAGCACAGCACTAAGAAGCTAAAGCCATTTCTGCATGAGTTTGATCCCCACCCCGGAGCTGACCCACATGGTGCAGCAGAACTCTCAGTAGTGTACTTTGTTGATCTGCCTGTTCTGCTCCCCACTCTGTCTCTGGTGAATCCTCTCATTGCTCCTGCACCTCTGGCCTGTACCCCAGTTCTGTGTGCATAAATAAATAAATCTTTAAAACTGTCTCAGAAGGTATTTTTTATTTATATGTATTTTACATCGTTCATTTTTAAACAATGTTTGCTTTCTTTTGTCAGGTGTAGTCCCCATAGAATTTCTACCACCAAATCACCATCATCACAGTCCCCTGTACTCCTCCCTCCTTTGTTTTGATCTCTCCCCTGCACCTTCCCCTGCAGAATGTATCTGGTTTATAGTTGTCTTTTTATTTTTGTTTTGTTTTATTTTTATTGTTATTATTTTTTCCCTAATGCTTTATTTGGTTCCCCCATATACCTTCTATAAGTGAAACCATCTGATATTTTTCTTCAAAAGAAATTTCAAAGTGAGTCTATTAAAAAAATAATAATAGAAAACTATAAAACGAGAACTTTTACTCTCAGATTTTCACAAATATGTGTTTATTTTTCAATTTAAAGAAACGAAGTAAAATTTATAGCTAATATACTAATAATTTAGGTTATCAAGACATTTTAGTTAAATGCAACACTACTTTCACCTCTGAAATATAACTTGAAGATAAGCAAAAGGTGAGACAGTGCTATCTTTAACCAGATAAAAATGCCAACATTTCAAGACAAAGTAATTATGAAAAAGCATGCAAGATACTGTAAAGCATCTGGCTAAAAATGCTAAATTTTCATTTCTATGACTCCATGTTAAAAAGTAAAAGTTTTCATTAATAGATAGTATACATCAGTTTTATTAGAGAAGCAAGAAGATATTTATATCACTTAGGTATTAAATATTTTAATTTCACCACCAAGATGAGAGTGAAATATTTCTTAAATGAAGTTAAAATCTATTCTGATGTGCACAAAAAAATATAAGAGCTTTCAGTTTTCTTATCCTCAAGATTAAAAATATAAACTGTTGACTTTGAACAAACTGTTGCAATTATCTTTTCTAGAGTTAATACTCTAGTAAGAATTGTGATTCTGTGAAGTAAACTCTTTCAACAAATAGATTTCCTCCTTTCTATTATTTCCCTTTCCTTTTCTTATTTTATAACTGTACGAATCCGTTATAGTCATACAGGAAATATAGAAGCAAATAGAAACATCTTTGATAAAACTTATTATCCAATATAGTCTTTCAAATGCAGTATTAGTAGCTGCAATTTGAGTATTTCCTCTTTGCATCTTCCCATAATATCAATGACTCATTCCTGCCATATACTTTGTGCCTTTTAATTCTTTTATTCTGGTCATGATATGTGATTTCTTCAATTTTTTTTTTGTTCCCAATTTTCCCAACTTTAAAAAATTGAGGATATTAGAAAATTTAACATGGACTTTTCTCATTTCTACCGGAAGGCAGGCAAAACGACAGGAAGAGAGAACGCACGATCCATCCAACTGCTGCTATTGTCCCCTTGTCTTAAAGGGAGTCACTGTTTGCTTGCCCTTTGCTATTCCTTTCTAACATAAATAATACCAAAGTCAAACAAAATACTTTTAGGGTTAAAATGTTCTCCATGTAGGTATTCAAACATTTGCCTAAGTCTGGTAAGCACATGCTGTCACTCATTTATTCACTAAGAAACTCCTACTAAGTACAAGCTGGTATGTCAACTCACCAGTCTAAATACCCATACTGATAATTAACTTAGGAGATGAGTCAAATCATCCAGGAATTAATCAGATTTTAACTCTTGCTGTGTGTGTGTATTGTGTGTGTACACACATGAGTAAATAATTAGATGGAAAACTTAATTGAATTCTATGTGAGAGTGAAAACAAACTCAGAAGGAGAAAACTTCCCCATTCAGGCAAATGGGGGGTATCTCTTTCAAGTCTCCCAAAACAGTAATTTCATCAGTTATTGTTTAAATAACCTGCCTTTAAATAATTTGTTGATAATATTCAACACTATTTAATACGGTATAGCAAATCACCCAGGCAGATGAACATGAAAATATGAAGTTTTTTTTTAAAACAGGAAGAAGTACCACCAATTATAGGAGGATACAGTTTGTTTTATAGTCATCAACCTGCTCAATTGAATCATATCCGTCTGAGCTTAGCAGCTTAAAATTCATTCCACAGCTTGCAGTGCTGACATGGATATGATAAGACAGAAGAAGAGAAACACCACTCTGAAGTAACCTAACTGAACTGCACATGTTCTGACCCTTTTTGTCCTCCCTGGAGCTTTAGCTACCTGGCAAATGCAACTCTAAAACTATACTTGTATCTCCAGATCTTTGCTGTAAGCCAAGCAGAAACCTATTTCTCCCTGGGACTGGCAGCCAGAGAGGTGTTCTCTGAAGAAGACTTCTAAATGAGTGTGTGAGCTGAACTCTTACTGAACTGAATTAATTATTAACCATGCAGATGGAGCTGTCCAAATGATAAGAACAGCTCCTGACGTGTCATGATCCAAGCTTTCATTAAACCATTTCAGGCATACTAATGGTTTCCCACTGCTCATTACTTACAAGCACTTTTCTCATAGATATAATAACTCTAGCCTGTAGGCAAGACATTCTATAGAAATACAGAAGTAGGAAGTTTTATCTTCCCATGTTGTCTTCATAGAACATCTTTTAAAACATACACTTATTTAACACTACTGAATTCCACTGTTTCAGTTCCGCAAAGAAGGAAATCCAAAGTTATACTTCCGGCAATATTAATGGGTAATCTAAGTAACAAAAATACTCCTTAAAAGGGTTATATACAACTTGATTCAGATTTCTATCTGAATTGATTACTAAATGTCGTAAGTAACCACAGAAAGATATGTAGGTAAAATATTAATATTCAACAAATCTGTGTTGTATAGTCTTTCCAGATCTCAATTGAGGTTACATGCTAGATAATGTTTTACACGTCCCTATCCTTTGTCTATTTGTGTTGGGAGGATTAGAGGATAAAGCAGCTGCAGAAGAACTACTCCCAGGATCTATTAGGTGATTGCTACCAGCAGGATATTTGTTCTTTAAGTTGGGAACACTGTTTCCCAAAAGCCCGTCACATTTCAACCTAAATGATTTGGAATAGGATAATAATGAAATGGGCAATATAAAATACCCTTTACCTCTCTTTTTTTTTTTTTAAAACTGGAAGCTGAATATTTGTGAACATTAACTTCCACCAAATGAATTTTGAATACCCTAAAGTCTGTAAGTGTCTTCAAAGATAGAAGAAAATAAACAAAACTGTACAATTAAGTAAACATGATACTTTTATAGGACAAATTATTCTAAAACAGTGTCCATAAGTTCCTAGAGATCAGTAAATTTAGCTACGGGCGAAAGGGTCACAGCCTGTGTTTGTAGGGAGCACACCTTTCATATCAGCTGTTTGTCATTTAATTCGAGCTAGGCTTAATATTGGTTAGCATAAATAAAGCAAGAATAAAAACTGGGACAATCATCTGGATTGAATAATTTTGATGAGAAATCAGCTTTTCCTAGGAGCAACTGAAATGTTTTACAGTATTATTAACTCGCATGGACATTCATTTCAAATTCAAATTTTGCTTGATTTAAGCTTTGTGTAAGATAATTTATTTTAATAATAAAGAACACACACTTGAAATAGTTTCAAGTTTCCATGAACTACTAAAAGATTTTCTCCATTTTATGAAACACTAGTTAACAAGAGAATTTATTTGTAACACTTTTTTAAAGGAAAAAAGTTATTAAAATAGGAATAAAAAGATAGGCAATATTTAAATTTGTTTCCTTTCAATCTTATAATGGTGACTACTGCAACAATAAACTACTTTAGCTACCTTTTTTCATTTCACATGTATTTCAAATATTTGACTTATGATAAAAAATACTCCATATCACTATATTAAACTTGTTTTAAATTTATTTGAAAATTATTTCTTTAAAAACAGTATTTTCATTTTGTATTTTTAAGTCTCAGAAAAGTAATGTTATTTTTAATAAGCTAAAAATTGATTTACTATTCATTTATTAATCTAAACTTAAAAACATATTTTGTAGCCTAAATAGAATTTAGGGGGTGGTCATTATTTAAAAGAACTAAAGCAGTATCTGAAAATTAAGATAACATTAAGGTAATGTCTCTCACTTTCATAAAGCATGAAATTACAAGGGCTATACAGTCTTTACAAAGGGCAAATATATCACAGATTTCAGAAACAAATTTTTGAACTACAATTCTTATCAAAAGTCATAAACAAAATGCTAACTATTCCTTACTAATTATTAAGAGTTTCAGAACATGTATTCTTGAGTAGTTTACACATTAGATACCTTTTAGATGACATTTTAGCAAACAAAATTAGAAATGAGAAAATGTAATTTTTAAAACAGATCATTTTCAGAAATAATACTAATTAGCAAGCATAACTCAAGAATGGCACAATACAATATTTAAATTGTACTATATAATAATATGCTATAAACTAGACATGTTCATAAATCACGAATATAGATTAACTATAATAAAACAAACAATGCCTATTTCAATAATATTACTAAAGCAGCAGATTTATAATGAAGGGAAAACAATATGCTTACCAAAATAATAAATGTAACTGGTCCAATGAAACTCCATATAAAATAGTTATCAACATGAAGCCAGCAACTATTAAGAAAAGAGAGGAGTATGTATTATTCAGTAGTTTCAATGGATCCCCAATAGCACAAGGAAAATTGAAATTCAAACAAACAAACAAAACTATCTTTATATTTGTCTTTGAAAATTCAGTTATTGTGGGCAAGAACAACATTCATAATTATAATTCAGCTTTTACTTTACAAACAGTGGTAGTAACTTACTTCAATCTGCTGCACTCCCCACCCCCTTTTTGGACTTTACATTTGATTAAAGCATACATATTTATGCTTATAATGCTTATAATGACCCTCACCAAATTCTCAAGACCTCTGACTTCATTGGAAAAAAAAAAAAGAAACAAACAAACAAAAAAAACCCTGAAACTCAAGTTTCCCAACTGTCATCTTTTTAAAGTTTTTAATCTTTAAAATTTCCCTTTCAGATCTGTAACTCTGAACTGAAGTGTTTAACCTTATGGAATATTACAGAAAAAAAAAATATGTTCAGATATGTCTGTATGTTTGTTGCAAAATTGTATAGCACAAATATTATACCTCATCTGGGAATTGATGACTACTAGGGGAAAAAAATCAAAACATAGAACTCACACAATATTAGAGTAAATGATGCATAAACTCATTAAGACTGATTTTACTTAGTGGTTCATTTTTCAGATAATATTGAATCCCCACTGAATTTCTTTTATTTGTCTTTTATCATCCGTACAGTCAAAAAAGCTTTCTTTAGTCCAAAGAATCTTTATATAACTAATTTTATCAAAGGAAGAAATAAACACAAATGAAAGACAAATTCATGCCTCTAGCAAATAAAATCCTTAGAAACACAACTATGTCTACCTTCTGTCACTTTCCATAAATATCTATATATTTTTATAAATGAAAGACTGACTTATTTTAACTTCAAACTGCCTGATAAAATATTATCAAAGTAAAACATATGGGATAGAATGTGCTACTGTCACAATTTAGAATGAAAGTTAGCTAGAGGGTTGGCTGCACAAGAGAGCTAATGAAGCATTAGCTGAAAACTGAGTAGTTAAACCTGTCAGATGCTTTAAGTTCAGGAGAATTTTTACTTAATATCTTTCTAAGGCCAAAAAGTTATTTACTTTTTCAATTTGTTTCAGGTCAATCTTTTGTGTTAAAAAGAAAGTCCATAATTTAGAATCTGCTTTGCCAGAGTACAAATCCTCTGAACCTAGAAAATTACAAAAGACTTGATTGTAATTTGTGCACGGCATGCCCATTCTCTTACCAATAAAGCTTTCAAATGCTATTTTAGTCTGTCAGGGACCCTCACTGACAGCTAACAGGCTTTAAAAAATTATTCACTTGAAAAACACTCAGGTCACTTGCAATTACTTACGCTTTTTCTGTTCCATAGCTCTTATAGTCAATAGCAGCTGAAACTCCAACCACTGTGGCAGGAAACAAGTAACCAGCAACATAGTAGTATTTCTTTCTTGAATATTCACTTTCAAAAACTTCAACTAACATTAGATAGAGCTGAACACCTTCTAGGCACATCCATGCAAAAGCAGCCAAAAAGAAAAAGTGTAGAAGTCCTGCAAATATTGGGCATGCAATCTACAAAGGAAAAAAAGAAACACACAAGAGAACTTATGAATACAAATAGTCTGCTGAAAACTGTAAAATGTTCACTGATATCTTTAAAATGCATCATTGTTTAAACTATTGCTGCTTTAATTTTTTTTTTTGAACGGAAGCACCTTAGAAACACTTCCAAGTTTTAAGAGTTTAAAGCATACAAAGCATGCTAGAAATTTCATCACTAAAAGCCATGACTATTTTTTACTGAAATTTATTATAAATAAGAAAACAGTATCTAATTTCTCTTCTAGAGTTACCAACTATTAAATTTGAATATTCTAACTACAGATGATAATGTGTATTTCTATAACTGAATTTTTAAAATTTGCTTTAATGACAAATACCCTGGCTCTAACATTTTTGAGTCATGTCTGGTGCATTCTTAAGTTGATCGCAGTGCAAATGAACAGGGTGAAGCACAAACTAATTAAGTTCTATTTCTGACATTGAGATCTCATGATGATGAATAAATTGCTCAGGTGATGAAGACATGATCACAGATGACTATGGAAGCAAAATGAAAAAATTTTAAAAGGGTATTTTCATTTCAGTATCCCCAGCACTCTTCTATTAAAATTAGATGTCTTAATAACAAGTTAGGAAAATGCCTCTGTATACCTTAATACAATGAACTAACTCATAATAGTACTGCTTAATAATTAGTGGGACACCCCTAAATTACTGCAAATTATCCTTCAATAGTGTCGTGTCAGTTACATTAAGTTACATAGTCAAATATAAATATAGAACCATGTGTGGATTCACACCTATTATAATTCTAGGAGATCTGAGGTCAATCAACTGAAAGAGTGCTTACCATGTATTTTGTTTTATCAATGCCTATTAGGAAAATAAATTCAGCAATGAAAAGGTTGATACAAAGGTTCTTGTGAATAGTATTGCGGTCACTTTGGAGACCGCGGAAAAAGCAGAAGGTGAAGATGCAGATGGCCAGGCAAACGAGGGAAATGACAATTCCCACCCAGGTGATGACTGTAAGGAGTAATTCGTGAACTCCATCTTTGTACTGAAAATTAAAAAAAAGATATGCGGAACATTAGTATTCCTATATTATACCAACTAAAGGTAAAGTAACTTTCACATGTGATAGAGCTCATCATGTTAATAATGAACTGTGATTATTCATATGTACTCAAACAGTACTCATTAATAAAAAGGTATGATCATAAAACAGAGTTCAATATTGGATTATAGATTTTCATATCCAAAGCATGACCTTTCAAAGTGGAAGATTTTACCAAGAACGTAATACAAGTGTCCAGTTATTTCAAGATAACTGAAATAAATCACCTACATAAGCACATGGAAAATATTTATATGAGAGAATAAAGGACATTTATTCACGATTAGAAATAAATGACATTTAAATGACTTTTTTAAACTAACATATGTCAAGTTTTAAGTTTTAATTTTTGTCTTGGGCTTTTATATTGAGATTCTAGGAATCACACAATATTCTGAGACGACTTCATGCAAACAAATTTTTAGACTGTTTTTATCTTCTGGCTATCATCATCACAAGAAGGAAGAATACAAAGAAACACTCCAGAAGCCACTTAAACCTTTCAAAATCTGCAGTTTTGTAATGCAAAAACAGTTAGAAAGCTTAATATGAAAATGGTAAAATAAGATTAAAACATTCAAGATGGGAGGACATGTTAAACTTTTAGAGACCTTTCTCCCTTTTGTATAACCTATGCTGTTGATTTTTAAATTCACAACTACTTCTGCCAAATACCTGCCTAAGAAGAAAAACTCAGCCTGGTAAGCACATGTCTTTGAAAAGTAACAATATATTGCCAAGACTTGTTAAATATATGGACAGTGTAAAAGCAAATAGAAATCCACATTACTTTCTGTTTTAGTTACGATAAGCACCCAAAGATGGAACTATTTACACAATCTGTTTTGAATCTCTGAGGTTCTAATTAGAAGTGCAAATACTTACTGCAATTTCCCTGTGGGCCATGAGAATTGCAAAATTGGTTAGGTGGCTACATGCACACGTTGTACGAGTTTTATTGGTGTCAACCAGCTTGCAGCCCTGGGTAGACCAATATCCCATCATAGTTCTCTCTGAGTAGTTCCAGAAGGAGCAGTTTGCATTGAAATAATTGTCAGGCTGGGAAATAAAATGACAAGATAAAATTAGGATTTTACACTCTAAGATGGCAATAGCAATTGTTTAATATGTGTAAAAGGTAATTTAGATTAAACTTTGCATGTTTCGGACTATAAAGTTTTTCATCAACAAAATTGTAGGCTATGTTATACAAGGAAGATATCTAACTTAAAGGGGGTTTTATAGTCCGAAACACTCTACAGTGTACTCTAAATTACCAAAGACCCATTTTACACAATTACAATTTTCATCTTATGATTTTACATACTGATAGTACATTAGAATTTTTTTTTTCTCTTCTGACAAAATTAGAAGCATTAGTTTGTTCTGAGAAGATTCTATGAGGAACAATGTTTTAAAATCTACTCTCAATTTTGGGCCCATTTTTGTTCAAAGTAACACATTGGTGACAATTAGAGTCAGGCTGTTTTATATACCATACCAAGGATCCTGAAACAGTGAATCAGCTGAATTGGATATAAGAAGAAAATAAGCTGTACAAATTTACTTTTCTTTGCCATGTGCTAGATAGAGGCCCGCTTACACACTTTATGTATGTAACAATAGCTAAAATTCTTCAATTCTTCTAACACACTGTGATTGTCTAACTACCAACTTGTATTCTTAAGACACAGCAAAGATATCATATCACTTTCATCTTATACTTTAAAAGCACAATATTTGGTAACAACCATGTCAACTGTGATCAGTATGACTAAGATGATTTGCCACATTAAAAAGGCAGAGTCTTAAGAGTTAATAGTCAGCTATCCTGCTGCTAAGGTAAGAGTTAATTTTCATTCTAAAACAAATTACAGTCATTTACATTTTCCTGTTGATTACTGAATTAGCTTTCATTAAGAATACACTTAAGTTCTAATAATCACTGAACCAGGCTCATTTAATTTTATGTTCACAGACTTAAGTAAACTTGTGTCTCTGACCCAGTCCAACATTTGAAATTCAAATGGAAAGGTCTTTTCTTTCCTCTCTGCTATTTCCCTTTCCCACATCCCCATCTCTAGCATGTCAGTTTTGCTTTCCGTCATCACTGGTTTTATAGTTCTTATAACCTTCCACTACTTCATTTGCACATAACTTACATCAATGTGTGGTAGAGTAAAAAGCACAGGGTCTGTCAAGTATACTCGGCTGGACTCTTTATTGATTGAAACTGAAATGACGTGGGAATTCACAGCAATGGTGCTGTTACGACCAATGAAGTCAGCACCCAGTTTTATGGTTGCATTTTCTGTACTAAGGAATTGCCCCAGACTCCGGTAAATGATGAACACCAACTTTGCAAGTCCTATGAAGGCAAATATAGTCATATGATTATACAAGTAATCTGCTTATGAATAAAATGATACAATAAGATGGAAAAAAGAAATCTTATAGAACATTTATTTAGATTAAATTTATTGGGCAAGAGTAAAGATTACTTCAAAGCTACTTTTAAATATTAAGCTGTGTTGTCACATTAGGTGCCAAATATTCAGCTTTTCAGAATAGGTTTCAATGACCAAAAAAAAAAAAAAAAAAAAAAAAAAAAAACTTTCAATTTTTAAAAGACAGTTCCATCTTACCATTCCTGCTGTTCTGTTTGACAGTATTTGCAGAGAGTTGGATTGAGCTGCCAGCTCCTTTGATGCCCAGAGGAAATTTAAAATCCTGAACCTGTCCTTCAGTACTGAGTACTGCAACCTCCAGAACTAGGTGAGATAAAGGGAAAAAAAGGGGTGTTCTTTAAACTACAAAAAGGCAAATGATAATAACATGGAAATCACTTTTTTTTTCTACTTACAAAAATTTACTGTTAGAATTTCAACAAAAGCATGAATAAAATACTAAGCTATTCTAATACTTTTGACTACTTAAAAATAATTTGCAGATTTATTTCATACAAAAATTTTATTGATTTTCTTCATTTTCATATACTTTACAAAATATTAAGTCCAGAATTTTAGCTTATGAATATGAGTATATGATTCAAAATACGTAACTTTCAAATTTTCACCTAAACAAAAACAGTTCAAATGAATTAATAGGAATGAAAAATTCCTTGCCCAGATAAAGATCATCAGCTAAAGGTTATCTAGCCAAACTTATAAGCAAATAGTGAAAACTCTAAAGCAAAAGTTTTAGTTAGTACTCTACTAACCAGTTAATGAAGCAATTCAAGAAAGACAAAAGTATAATGACTGAAAGGAGAAAGAAAACTATCATTAATTGTAGCAAATATGATTAACAACATGGTACTCGTGAGGAAAGACATTATATACTACCAAAAGGAAAAGACTAGCAAAGCTACAAATCAGTAAAATCAACTATACTTATATACCAAGCAACAACTAGAATATGTAATTCAAAAAGAATGTTTACAATAAAAACAAAACCAAGTGTTACCTAATAATAAATGTAATTTTAAAAGTGCAAGATATTTTAAAGGGAAAATACAGAAGTTTATTAGAAAACTCTACCATAGTTTTATCTGGGAGAACTCAGCAGGTAAATGAATCTTGTCTTGTACTTGCTTTAAAATCTGTAAAGTGGTCGAGTGAGGGGAGGCTTGCAAACAGAGAGGTGGAGATTTACCCTAAAATTTATATAGTTTGGTAATAGAAAAAAATCCTACAAACTCAGTCTAATTCTAATAAAACACATAAGCAAGACTGTTTGAGTGTGCAGAACTTGACTTTAAAATTCATGTGGAAATGATATGCCAAAAACAGTCAAGACTATTCTTAAGGGCCTAGGATGCAAAGGGTCCATACATTGATATTTTTAAAATAAAAGCAGTAGTACATGATAAGCACACCCAAGATGTAGAAAAACCTGACATACCACAGAGAGATCATTACAACCACAGGAAGTAAGTGATACAGTACAAATACTGAAACAACTGATTATCCACATAAGGGGAAAAAAAAAAGATGTGTTTCCTGACTCCTTCCTCATAAAGTAAGTTTCACATAAATTTTTATAATCTTAAAGTATAGAAAAAATTCTAAACAGGAAATACTGAAACTTCTAAACTGGAGATAGCAAAAGTAAAATATTTCTTTAAAAAGATAGCAAACAGTTTCCCTGGTGGCCTAGTAGGTATATCTCAGTGCTATCACCACTACGTATCCCTGGCCAGGGAACTGACCTCCATATGGTGTAGCAGACCTGTTCTGTGTCGCCTGCTGTTCCCTTTAGCAGTGTTATTTTAGTAAAGCCACCTGTTCTGCCCCCCCTCCTTTTTGCCCTTACTCTACACACACACACACAGTATCTTTGGTGAATCATCTCATCTCTAGCACCTCTGGCCCATAACCCTGGCTCTTCTTTGTAAAACAAACAAACAAGATAACAGAAACATCAACCCTACAGCAGGCTAATAATTTGACTTTCTTATTTTGTAAAACAGAAGATAGCATAAATCAGTATAAAGGAGAAAGCACATACAGAATAAATATCGACAAGCTTCACACTCAAATACTTAGTATTGATATTCAGAATACATTCTCTACAGAGAAGTAAGCAGGGAGAAGTTGTGGCCAACAAATTCACAGAAGAGAAACCTTAAAGTACCCAGTAAATACATTCAGTAATCAGGAAACTGAAAATTAAAACAACGATGTGATCAACTCAAACCCATTAGACCAGCAAAATGGATGTATAAGAAAGTGTGATGGTATGCCTGGTGAGAAAGTGAACTGGTAAAAACAGTATTACAAAGCAGGTTGGCCATATTGGCTCAAGTTGAAAATGGGCGTGCTCTATCATGCTAAAGTTTTTTTTTTTTTTTTTTGCATTTGTGATTATGTATGTGCATGCACATAGAAAAAAGTGCATTATGTTTGAGAGAGAAGACATACAAGCACTTTTACTACTGTTTTTTTTAATCAGCAAAAATATTTGTCACTAGCATAAGGAAAAAAATTGGGGTGCACTTTTAGATGAAACTGGTCAAACTAGCGCAGCACATACCAACAAGCCTAAATACAAAAAATATAATGGTAAAGAAAAATTACATAATTATAATTAGAATGTTACATCCTTAATGTTTAAAACATGAAAAGTAAGAGATATTCATAAGTATTCAAAGAAAAATTTAAAGCTTACTCATGCTAACAAGTAAATCAGGATGATGATCACCTCCTTCTTGATCTGATTAGGAAGGAGGGAAGACCCAGGTGACTTATTATCTATAACTACTTCTTTTCCTCTAGCACCTGTATGTAGCAAATCTGGTAAACTACTGAAAAGTGGCTCAGGTGGGTGAGTGGGACACAGATGTTGATGATACTCTCTGCATATGCCTTGCTCAATAGATTTCCTGAAAGTGAATACCCTGGATGCACAGGGAGCCAGACAGAGCCTGGTAGGTAGGATTTTAAGTGCATTTCTCTGTCATCCTATTTTTCAAAATGATCACAATGGTGTGGCTACAATGATTAGGAAGGAGCAAGAGAGAGTGGATTTAGGAAAAACAATAGCTTCTGACAGTTAACCTAACAGGCTCCATCAGCCTGAGCTACAATAAAATCAACATGGAGCAGAGTGATGATGTCAGGAGAAGAACCTCCAAGATGATGTGAGATGTGAGAAACAGTGAAACCTTTTCTATGAGAAATTGTGACTTTGGCGGTTTAATTCCCATAATATAAGTTCAAATTGACAGATAAAATCATGCTAAGCCTCTTAGAAAAATAAATGATGGGTGGTTTTACAATGAATGGGTTAGGGTAATAAAACCTAAACCATCTAGTCAATCCTAAGATCACACACAAAAAGACAATCAAACATTACGTGCCTCTTTCATCTAATGTGACAGAAAGTTCTCAGTGGGTGGGAAGATTGAGTTAAACCTGACCTGATCAGTCTCTAGATCTAATTATTAGTATATACAAGTAAAATGACATATGTGGGAATAAAGTAAGGCAGATCAAGAAATTATGAATGTGGAAACAAGTCATTCATCAAATTTCTTCAACAATGAAAAAGGGGGCTTAAAAAAATATGTAGGGAGAAATGACCTTATTAGAAGATTTTTAATGTATGTCAATAAAATGTACATCACAGGCTGAAGAGCAAGTGTCAGGAAGTTTCCTCAAAATTGAAAACAAGAAAAGTTACATCCTGGGAAAACATTAAGAGTATACACATACACACACACACACAAAATGACAAAAGATTTGCATTAAGAATTATAAAGAATCTCTATAAATCACTAAAAAGCAGACAACCCAATTAAAAGAGGCAGAATATATATATATATATATGTACTTTGCAAAAAATAGATATGAATAGCCAATCAGCACATAAAGACTTGAATAGTTATCAGCAAAATGTAGCAAATTAATAATACACATGCCAAAAAATTCCAACAGGAGATGAAACTACAAACCACCAAAATGACTAGTATTTAAGAACGCTGACAACCTAAATGTGTGTGAGGATGAAGAGCAACTAGAACTCTCCATGTTGTGAGGGGTATAAAATGGTACAACTGCTTGGGAAAACAGCAGCTTTACTAATATAACACTCAAAGTGGAAAAAGCCTGCATGTCTAACAAGTGAGTAGGCAGCAATACAAACAGTGATGTGACCTTATAATGGAATACCACCCAGAAACAAAAGGATGAAGCCACAGGTGTTCACACTAACATGGATGAATCTCAGAACCATTCTGTAAAAAGAAGTTAATTCCAAAGACAATACTGAAGGTCTAGGAAAAGCAAACCATAATGATATCCCAGACCAGGGATTCTCTGGGCCTGAGGATATGGGAAATGCTGGCTAAATAGGTGTACATTTGTCAAACTCATCAAACGCTATTTGTAACAGCTGTTCTTATTGTGTGTAAATTATACCTCAAAGTTGACTTAGTATAGTTATAATCAGAATTATAACATAATTATACCATTTTTATGAGGTTATATAAGGGCAAAATGTGTAAGAAATTTAAAATAGGAGTCAAGTAGAAATCACCAAGGAGGAAAATCAAATTGTCTTAATAACCTACAATACTGTAACCATGCCTAAATTTAGATGAGATTTCAAGAGAGAAAAGAATATAAGGATAATGGGCTATTTTACCCCTAATGACTAAATGAGAACAAATCCTAGAAAAAGGCCATATTTTCCTCACACTAAATCATGGATAACATATGCCTCAAAATTGTTTATATCTTAGAACTGAAAAAACAAAGAGACATTAGAATAGCGATATTGATTTTCATATTGATTAACTTCTTGAATAATCAGTGTACATGTATACAGTAAGTTTATTATTTTTGAAAGGTAAGTAAAATGGTTACTAAATTCTACAATAATCTTGCATATGCAAGGTTCCTTTTTAATTAAAACATTAAGAAACTGAAGAATTATACTTTAAAACTTTGGAAAAACACAGGTCTTAAGCAAAATATATTCCTGGATATTGATTTACATTTTCAAAGTAAGTTTCAAACTGGGATGAAAATATCTCACACCTGTAATAACAGTGCATCTATGTGTGAGGCTTTTGGGAGCATTTACTGTCAACCGGACCCATCAAATTTTCTTGCACTCTTGCAGAGGGCAGAAGAGCAAAAATACTAAGATTTTTTTGGTTAGGAATGTTATTAGAATAATACATAAACCTCAAAAATTAATAAAGCTTTGTATCGGAAAGAGCAAGCTTTATTCATTTCATACTGTTACTAAGGCTATAGAGGAGAATCATTTTCTCTGTGCCTAGTATTTTGTGTCATAGGAGGGCAAGCTGTGTTGACTTCAGTTGAAGTTTTTGAGTTCTTACAAAAACTCGTAGCAATTAAAAACATGATTTTAATAATTCTTTCTATGAATTAAGTTTTATAAGGTAAACAATTTGATTTTTTTAAAGGCTTCATTCAGTATACGCTATGTTCACACACTCAATACAAGAGAAATCTGTGTTAGCTTTTGAGATTTTTACTGTTTATGCGTGGGAAATTTTTTTTTTTTACTTACTAAGGAATACTACTAACTTTGAGTTCATCATTACTGAATTATAAACAATTCTAAATCAAACCTAAATTAGTCTTTTGCTGTACTTAATATATATATATATATTTTTTTTTTTTAAAGATTTATTTATTTATGCATACAGACTGGGGTACAGGCCAGAGGTGCAGGGGCGGCGAGAGGCTTCACCAGAGACAGAGTGGGGAGCAGAACAGGTTGACTGACAAAGTACACTGCTGAGGGGAGCAGAGGGTGGTTCAGGAGAGGTCTGCGGTGCCATGTGAGTCACCTCCAGGGCAGGCGGGGACCGAACTCATACTGAAGTGGTTTTAGCTTCTTAATGCTATGCTTCTTAGTGACTGTGCCACCAGGGAGATTGCACTTACTATACTTTTATGTACTTCTAAAATCATCAAAAGTGCATTCTCACCTCTCATTGCCAGCATATAAACTCTAAGTTACAAAGCTATCAGCAACTGTTTCATAGTCTATGAAGCATTGATGTACTACACTATGGGAGATGTAGTCCACTGACCACATTTTTACCTGAAGGCAGTTGTGTTTAATATAAACATTTGGCTCAACTTTGTGTGCCTAAAATATTTTACTGGGCAAACACATTCCAGAAAGTAATTTAAATTCATTAGGAACATATTATATAAAGTGGAAAAACATTTGCCACAGTTCTACAGCAAGCATTTTGATTACTTAAGCAATCCATATTGTGGCATTTAAGTACTCTTAACACTTTTTTCCTGTAATGATTTTTTTCAGTTGGGAAAAAAAAACACATAAAGCCAACTTTTAAAAGACATAGGATAGATTCTGGCTTTTGCATTAATTTTATGAAGCATGATCAATATTATCTTTTGTTCATAGACAAAAATAATTTGACAAAAGATAAATGTGACATTGGTAAACAACTCAACAGATTCAGAAAGGAAATATCGTTTTCTTAAATATCTACCCTCTAAGCCAAAATTAAATCTGACAATAGATTTACTTACCAATATTTTCTGTCGGCATGGAGACCCTGGTGGGTTCTACTAGATTGTCAGCCAGGACAAAAGCTCCTTCTTCTAATGTATCAAGTAACATTGTTGCAGTGTGTGCTTGTTCAGAAGAATTCATGTGTTTCCATGATTCCAAAGCTTCAGGTCTCAGCAGGTTGTCCACCGTGTCAACAATTGCCTGCATCCATTAGAGAACTATCATTAGTTTTGACTGCTTCTAGTACCAAGGTGATTTTCAATCACTGACTAGTGACAATAGTAATATTTATCTGTCATGATGATTTACTCTTTGTAAGATGGAAAAACACCTGGACAACATTTATCTGGTCAAGTTAAAATATATCTGACCATTTCAAAACAGGACTAACTAAATATTAGTTGACTGCTGTTTGGTTATAAAGAATAGATGTAAAAGCAAGATTTGTTGTTATTTATGTAAATCTCAATTGCTGAAGGGTAATACAGTAAATCACTTCAGCTCATAATCTGAAGTCCTTTTACAAGTATAGTCACCCTAAAAATCTCAAGACATTGAATGTTTGAACAGGAAACACTGATGTCTCTGGAGTAGCTTATATATTTATTCTTGAAAATGAATTAAATCTTGCTTTGGAATCTGAATTAAAATAGTGAGTTGTTTATAATATTGTCCACTTACTACCTCTCTAGGAAGTTAAAAAAAAAAAAAGATGATTACAAAGCTTATAAATTATTTATGGACATATTCACTGTCCCAGTTCCCTGTCTAGCTAAAGAAAACACTTGAGAGTACATCTTAATTCATAAACAATGATTTTTTGAAAGGAATGAAAAGACAAATCAAAATATTTAAAGCCTGTATTAAACATTTAATGAAACAGAACAGCAGAATGAAATCTTCATAAACATCCAGGTTGTAAATAGTATAGATAGTTTAGTTTATTACCATGCAAGATAACATGAAATTAAAAATATAACCCAGTCAGTTAAGCAATTGAAAACAGGCTTTTGCACTGATACTTACTGTAGCTATGCACTGACTATGGCTTAGATAGCTGAAGTCACTGAATTTATTTTCTCTAACCCATCGGCTTAGTTATAATGTGTCATTAAGCCATATAAATTGCCCTGATCTATTGGTAATCACTAAGGAAAAAATAACATATTGTACAAAGAATAACAGCAAAAACGCTAGTTTTGGGTACTTTACTGAAATGAACAGGGGAAAAGTTGTTTGAGGCTACTGTCAGAGTAAGATTAATTAGCTTAATCCATCTTAATATCCTCGTTCTGTCTGCCTTCTGAGCCACCACGACCTTCTTGGCAGGTGGAAGATACTTCCAAGTGGCGTTAAAGGCTTTTTTCTCTCTCTAATGGGAGACAGAATAGTCAAAATGCTCACAGTGATACTGCTGCAGCCATTAACTAGAGTGGAACAGAAATTGGTCTGCTGAGGCCAGATTCATTAGTCACCAAGAAAAACAGACTGGAGTCTCTAATCTAAGTTACAAATGAATCCTCTGTCACAAAGCGAGAACTTGCCTAATTTGCATAGTATAAGTCAGCGTCTGATTTGTAATTTAAGGAGTTTTATTAGTCTTATCTGAACAGAGAAGCTCATTTGAGACAGACTGAAAATGACACTGGTCAGAAATTAAGGTCATACTGAAATTTACAAGGTGTACACATAACTCGCTGATGATGTGCTTTTTAACAATTCGAAACACTCCTTATTTATTGCCATTTGTACTTTTCTAGTGCAATCAAAATGATCATTAGCCTAATCATATTCCTGAAGTAGACTCTGCCAAAGAAAAAATTCTATTCTTTTCTTGCTAAGATATATGTCCCGGGCAACATACCAATTATTACATTTCATACATTAACTAATAACTTAAAGGTGAACTGAAAATTTGAGTATGACAAATTCTACACACTTCAGCAGTTATTTCTTTGCCCCCATTAAACAGGCCAAAAGGGAACTTTCAGAATATTACTTCCTATAAAATGACTTTCTTGCTGACTATTCCTGCAGAGTTATCAGGTCCAACAATGCCTATTATTAACTAGTAAGAGGTCATTCTTTTTTTCTAGACCTTGTTCACCAAAACTGGTAAGTTATGACTTTTGAAACCCTCTCTTCCACAAATCTACAGAAGTTCTTTTACTTTGCCATTGTACACATAGGGTGTAGTTTTCAACGTTTGATTTACCAAGGATGTGGGTACTCTGATGAACAAGGTCAGAAAACAAGCCCCCTCCCAAAGGAACTTCTAAAATTCAGGCTAAACTAAATGCAATTGGGTCTACTATCTTGATCCCTGACATACAACTAGCATGGCATAATTCCATCATTAGCCTTAGCATGTTTCCTACTACATGTATATAACAGGGAGAAATACAAGTGGAAAAAGTTTCTGAAGGAAACAGTGACTTTTACTCCTTTTTGCTTGATAAAAACCCAACATAACAAGTACTGATAGCACTGCTGTACAGCTTCTATTTCATTGCTAGTACCCTCTCTGCAAATCAACCTGAGTCTAGAAATGACTCCTAAAAATTTCAGGACAAAGCCTATTTAAGAGTACACCACAAGACCAGAAAGCAGTGATTTTTTTCATGCACATACATCATGACTATACAGTCTTTGATATGATAAACTGCCAAGAATATATCATAGCTGTTTTTTTAACAGAATTGTTTTTTAATCTACAGAGAGGACAACAGGAAACAAAGTTACTATATGATTATTTTCCAATTCATAACATATGTCATTAAAATTCTGGTATGTTTGAGTGAATGGAAAAACAGCAAACGTTATAAAAATAAATTTGCTATTCTGAAAGTAATATACCTGTGAAAAGCCAACATTTATACAGCTGATATGGGGCACATTATATAATTATCAAAGACTGAAATACATTGGATCATGCAGCAAGATGATAAAGCGTGGCAGGTAGCTGAAGAAGGGAGAAAGCAGGGTGACAGCACAGGAGAGATACCTTAAGGTAAGCCCTGCATGTCTTCTCTCGTTTTTGGAGCTTTTTAGTAAAAGAAAAGAAAATCAGAGGTTAGATTTTATCTGTTGAAAATGAGGAAGGAAAAAATCCTCAAAAATTAAGCTGAGCTGAGCTCAAAAATGTATTATGTACAGTAGTCTTCTGGAATTCTGTGACTTGACAGTGAGTGCCAAAATTGTGTCTTTAGTTTTTTTGTTGTCTTTCACTAAGTACACCAGTCAAAAGTATTTTGATATAACTAGAAATAAAGCATGTGGTCAAAAGGAAAAAGAAGTCTAATTTTTGAAATGTTATAAGACTGTATTAGTCACAGATTTTGGATTCATATGGATTTCATATAAACGCTCATTTTACAGCATGTTGAAACAATGATCAAATTTCTGTCATTGTTGGAAAAGTTAACAACACTAATATACTATACGCCTGGAGAGGAAGAATGCCTCCTCCTCCCCAATCCTGGCTGAAATTCCTGTATGTATCACAACCTTACTGCAACTGTAAGAGTGGAATGTATCCACACAGAAAGTGTGTGTGCTGCACAACACATAATCTCTCCAAGGGCAGATAAATGCATTCTAAGATAAAGGCATTGACCACACGCAGGAGGGTAAAGTTTGCCACTAAGATCTCCCTCGGGTAATCACTTGGGGGAGGGCAGGCACACTACTTTCTCAGCCAATACTCTCTACTGAGAAATGAACCAAATTAGAAATTCTGGTTCTACGTTGTATGTCAAAGGGGCCAGAGGTTTGGCAGCCAATTGCTAGATTCAAAGAGCTGCCATATAAAATGTTCAATTGAAAACAACAGAAAATTTCTACCTACTTTGTTAAAAGTCCGGCCAGCTGAATCCTTCTCACTGGGTTTCAGTTCCTGCAGCTGTGCATCAAGGATGTCCACCAACTGCTCCATCAGTCTGACTGAAGAACTCACATCCCCAGCGAAAACTGGACCTTTGGTATGTTTAGCCAGTTCATTGGCAAGACTAGCAGCATTTTCTCCACTTCTGATCTGCAATGACAGTGTATATTGCCTCAGTAAGATTTCTTGTTCTATCTGAAGCTGCTTGTTCTTCTCCTGAGCATTTTTGTTGTGGTAAAAAAAAAAAATTTGCAAATATGTCAAAATCTGCAAGTAATTGAGACCAATAACTTTCTCTTCATTTCAGATGATTAAAGGTTCTTAGATCCACAACACACTAAAGAAATTCTTATCCAGGAATTTAAAAGAACCAACAGGAAAAAAGAAAACCAGAAATCCATTAATTTTTTTTTTTCAGATAGCTCTTTCATTTCACTGTAACTATTTTAAACTGCTATTTTAAAATCTTATTTATTTATTCCAATGATCCAGAAACTTAAATCAGAATGTAATCAATATGATACTCAAGGTTATTATCTACTGTCTGCGTCACGAAACGGTAGATGAGGAAGGACAAACTAAAATGTCACTGCATTACACTGTGATATGAAAGATACTTAAGCCTTTTAAAGTCAGTTTTTAAACTTATTCTATTATAATCATCTGTGATATAAACATCTGTTTGCATTCTGTGGGTTCAGTTGCAAACTTAATGATATTTGATTTATTAGGCCAATGCACTATTTGTCTTACAACATCAAAAGAAACAGAAGAAACTAAATATGAATAAAATTAAGCAAGTATGCACTCATTAAAAGCTGAACATAGAAAACAGCATGCCCCTAAACATATGCAACTCTGAAAAATAGTTTACAGACAAAACTATGCATAATTCTTTTTTTACTTTTATGCTGAACAAAGAACAAGGAAGCTGGTTTTAACATACAAAGCTAAATTATTTATGTCAGAAGTTAAAGCCCTTAATCACCAATGTGTATCATATTAAAAGGTTCCAACCAACCTTCTGAGCCAGCTGATTTACCCAGTGTGAGGTACAGTTGCTAAGATCGGGGCCCTTAGGGTTCCATGTTCCAGTGGAAACCATGCAGAGATATGAGGCCGTTCCTACAACAGATGTAGAAAACAACAGTAAAATTGAAACCATTTTTCTGCATGCATTCGGGAAATCAGCTATGATGACTCTACTTTGTGTGTTAAATTTTGAATAAATGCTAATGGAAGCGGTTGACAATAACTGACAAAAAGTGTATAACACAGTTGTAAACAGTAAAAATAAAGTCATCAGAGAAGTATGAGACATTTGCAGCAAATAGAAAACCTTTGATTTTCTTGAGACTTATCCAAAATGATACTTGTAATGAGAAAGGCAGCCCTAAGGAAGCCCCACTAAGGCCCAATGGCAAAAATCTTAGGCTTGACATAGGTCATTAAGAGAGAGGTAAAATTCACTGGTTGACCTTAAATGGCTTTTACAGTCTCAAAACCTTTGAATACAGATGCTATCTCTCCAAAGTTAAAAGATCATGACAGGGATAGTAATTGTGAATATTCTTTCTCAAAATCATTTTAGAGTAATTCAGAGCATGCTTACTATATTTAAATCTGTGTGTACAGTATATATAAATCTAAAAGGTATATCTTAGAGGAAATACCTCTTGTTCCCTTGGGACATGGTCGTTCAACCATCATTCCCCTTTGAGTCTGAGGCCACCTTATTCCCCTCGCATCTAATGCTTCGCAGAATCTTTCTGGCAGGGGAAAAATATTTGTTACAGGAGGAACTTTGGTTGTAGAAACTGCTGGAGGTGGTTTTGTCCCTTTGCTTCCTTCCTGTGATCCAGCTACAGTTGTGCTCATGGGGCCTTTCTGTGAAGTAGTGCTTGTGGTTGATACTGTGGTTTTGAACAGCTCAGCTGAAGAAGTTATTGTCACAGCTGTGGTAGGCACTATGGAAAAAAGATGAGTATGTTAATTGCAAACACACAGTCATGCTCTCATACAGGTAACACATGTGTATATGTGTGCAAACACACACACACACACACACACACACACACACACACATCCCCACCCAAGTCACTCTCCCAAACTGGCAAAATGAGAATTACTGAGAACATTATCAGGGTGGAAAGAATAAATCTCTTCATTTATTCTATTTACTTATTTTGGTTGCTAAGTGATGGTAGTCGAGGCTTTACTACAGATTTTGTTGTAGGACTCTAATTGTGTTAGGGTTATTTCTCAATGCCATACAACATGATACAACTTAAATAGTATTTTATCATAGGTCATCTAACAAGAAAGTAGGTTATTAAAGTTCAAGATATATACCAAATGCACTGTTTCTAATGAAAATTTGTAAAACTTACTTTCTGATACGAATTAATATTCTATAAGCAATCAAATTTAGAATATCAACAGTCTGACAGGTATATAACTAAGACAACAGAAGATTTAAAATCACCCACTCTACATCTTGCAATAAAATAAATACTGTGACATCTTTCCACCCAGCAGCCATTCTTGCTTGAGAGATTTTCGAGCATGGCTGATTAGATCCAAACAGAAGACAGGCTTGGCATACTGGTGCTGTTTTTGAAAGGCAACATCTGAGGCTTTGCATCTTTATGTTTGAAAACATAGGGAGGTAAATGCAACTGGCTCTGGCCAGAGGTGATATCATAATATCTTCTGAAGAAAAAGGCTAGAGAAAATAACCAAAGGTAATGTACACACTATAATCAGCCTGAACAGAAAAGGAAGAACCGGTAACTGCATTTAAAGTAGACATTAAAAAAATAAATTCTTGAAAGGTTATTTTTAGTATCCAGTGTTAACAACTTTCAAATTTAAACTTTAATCCACTGGATTTAAAAAAAAAAAAAAAAAACAGAGAATTGTTTCATTAACATTTAGTTACCTTAAAAAAATTCTGCCAATAAAATTTCAAACCTGCCATTCAGAATTGATTAGATGATAATAGCACTGAAGTTTAAGCCACACTTATAAATCACTGGCTGTTCAAACAGTATCATACGATGACAGCTTTAAATTGAGTACAACAAATTAAAAGTAAGTGTTTCAAATATCTTCTAAAAAATACTATTTTATGTTTTCTCTATACATAAGAAACAACTTAGAGCATACAACTTACTAGAAAACAAGTTCATGTTATTACTGACATGTTCAATATTTTAAGGTCTGACCCATAACTGTTTATAACATTTTATCAGCACAGTGTAGTCTAAGTTTATCAGAATCCTAGTTTTCTGGTGACAAACTTCTTGCTATTGATAAGTGTACTACACACTTTTTACATCTTTTTCTGACTCTCTCAAGAGAAACTTCGTAGGCAGGTGTTTTATTTCCAGGGCATAATTTATTGACCATATGAGAGATGCCTGTGTACATCAGTCAAACATGATGCCTAGCCAGCTGCTGTAGAAACCTATTCAAACCTGTCTATCTTTTTCTGTAAAGCACTTGCCTGACATCTTGTTAAACCTCTGTAATTTTCTTTTGATTACAATGCAGCCAGCCTTTCAGTGCTTTCTCAATTAACATTTGTCAAAAGCATCACAATCTTGTGCAAAAGTGTCAAATGACTGCCACTGAATCAAATCTTTGAAGGAAAATGGAAATCAGAGCAAAATGAGAAAAGGGCAGAGCAAAATGGCTCAGTGCTGCACTATGTTAGGTGGCTCCCACCATTGTACAACTGCTTATTTAATGATACCACCACTAACGATCAGTTAGCCAGACTTCAATAATGATTCTTAATAATACTTTAGGTATATAATAAAAGAACCTCTAACATGCAAAATTTCATGTAAGATTCTATAGACTGCTTCCATGTGTTCTGATAATGTATCTTATACTGTTTACCTTTTGCAATCAATTTTTTCAGAGATCAATCAATGAAGTATTGGAACAGCATGAAAATAAACATGCAAGTACAATTTAAGTAGCAAAATTAAACCCTGCTGGAGGAAAACTAGAATTAAAATTTTGCAAGGCTGACATTTAGCACTTTCAAAGAAAGCATTTTTTTTTCCTAAGTTGAAACTATAAATGCAGAGGCATTTATAACAATTACTATTTCTTCCCATAGGTGAAAAGAGGTCACAATAGGGAACCTGATAATGATAAAACTTATCTTTAACCGGCACTTATTTATTAGATGCTATTTTAATCACCATCCATGGGTCAACAGATCATCATATTTAATTCTTACCACAACCCCATGGTGTAAGGCATCGTGATTATCTTCCTTGGAAAGATGAGGAAACTGAGCTATGGAGAAGGTTAAGCAATTTATTTAAAGTTAAGTGTTTATACTCAAGTGCTACATTGCACTTTTATAGGTAAAAGTATTTTTGTAGACTCTAGAGTATGGCATCCCCAAAGCAATTTGCTCTTATTTTGGAACACAGAACTAGCACTACATTTTGTGTAAATGCCTAATGGAATAAAAGATATGGGTGGGTAACCTAAGACGCCAGAATGATAAACAACAAAAAAGTTTCTATAATGAAACTTATGGGGCACAAAAGCATCAAAACTTAAATGTATCCTATAAGTGATAACAGAAAACATGGCAATTCACACTAAAATAGTTTAAATCCAAACTGTATTTTGCTGGGTTATAACTCAGAGTTATCAGGATTCCATTAGCAGGGATGCAGATGAACTGATTCAGCATTCTGTTTACCATGTGAGTGCAAAGGCTTAAAATTAAGCCAAAAAAATGCTAATAAACTTATTTAATAGATACCCAAGAAGATTTTGACAAACAGGTTACATTTATTATGGTACTGTTTACTAGGAACTTCCAATTTATAACTACCTTTTTTTCTGTATGAAAGTATTTACGAACACATTTTATTCTAAATGTTAGAATTTACCCAGGTCAAAGAACTCATCCCTTATTCCCTGAATATACTCTGACTAGATTGAGTCAGAGTAAAGGCAAAAATGTATATTCATTAAATTTACCTTTGTTTCAATGTCAGAAAATACAAATTATCTCTTATGACCATTATTAGTGAAAAGATATTTCAAGAACTAGGTTTTCTATGCTAAATGCTTCCTAAATAATTTTTTTCTCATATTATGGAAGTGTTTTAGTTTATAAGTACTCTAATCAAATATTCAGGAACTGTCAAAATCCAAGACAATTGTTTTTAGGTAAGATCTGCAATATCAAATTTTCAGACAGATTAAGTAAACATAAAGCAATTCAGATTAAAAGAGATAGAAGAGGGCTAAAAAGGGTTTTTTCCTCAGCCCATTTTAGAGTGAGAGAAGTGAGAGGAAAGACAGACCTAGTTTAAGAAAATGGAGCAACTGAATTATGCATAGATCATAGAGAGCTAAACACTCAAAGAAAAAAGATGTTATTTCAAAAAACATGAACAAATGACGATATAATATGCTCTTGCTATTAGGAATGAAAAGGTTGAATTTACAAAAGAGTAAAAGGATTACAGTTTAGTTAATTCACTGTGGAATAGTATGAAGAAATGGTTAATTTCACAGCACAATGTATTTGTTGGCCATATGTATCATAGCAAATCCAGTACATAAGACTTGGTGAACTTTAGCCAAACCACTCAATCACTGACTTATGACAAAGACCTTATTCCTCTGATTGTTTCTTTCAATCAGTTTCTTGGATCTTGATTCTGGAAAGCTGACAAAGGCTTATTGGTTTGACCTAAATTTATGGGCCAGGATAGTTCTATGAGGCCCATCAACATGCATAAAGATATCAGCACATATCCTGGCTGAGAGACCTGAGTCTCTAAAAGCATATGAAGATGAATTACAACCAGAGAGAGAATATGGTTCAACAGTAGCAAGTTAAATTGGGTTCCATTATGAATTTTCACTAGTTTCTAGGAATAGTTAAGAACAGTTAACAAGGAGTTACCAATATGTATACAGTTTTCATTTTCAAAGCTGGTAACTACTCCTTCCAAAAAGTATCTAAGACTTATTCATCTAAAATGGTACAAATTATTTACCAGAATATGTCATATGGAATGATAGTATTATTCATCTTACATTTTTTTTTAAAGATTTATGTATTTGTACATACAGAACTGGGGTACAGGCCAGAGGCCAGGGGTGGCGAGAGGCTTCACCAGAGACAGAGTGGGGAGCAGAACAGGCCGATCGACAAAGTACACTGCTGAGGGGAGCAGCAGGCGGGTCAGGAGAGGTCTGCCACGCCATGTGGTCACCTCCGGGGCAGGCGGGAATCGAACTCAAGCGGAAGTGGCTTTAGCTTCTCAGTGCAGTGCTTTAACCCACTGCGCCACCAGGGAGGGCCTCATCTTACATTTAATAAAATACTTTAAGACAAGTCAACAGGCAATGATTCTGTGTTAAAATGAATCTATACTAAACATTATTCACTATTCAATATTTTTTGTGGATGAATTTGCACCTTTAAAATGTTTATTTTTCTAATAGAGGGGAAGATATTTACTATCACACACCCGGATTGGCAAAACAGTTTATAAAAAAGGTTAACACAAAGTTTGATAAAATGTCAAATGCTGTCAGTTCCTGAAATTTGCCTTTGACAAAGTTAAGATAAAGAGAAGGATGATACTAATATTTTGAAAAATAACAAACATCTCAAATTGCTAGCAACATAAGAAAAAAAAGTTTAAATTTTAAATAAATCACCTAAGTCACTATTAATGAAGTCTTTATTCCCTAAAAGAATATTTCATTATTGAAAACTCAACAATGGGTCATTTTGATTCAAAAAAGTCTAGACATACATAAATGAGGCAATGAGAGCTTGCACTAGGTCAATATTTTATTATTGATCTTACTACTGTATGAACAAAAATCACACAATGTAGTATTCCTTAATAACTAACATTAGAAATTCAACTACAAAATGATGTTTTTGAGGTCCTGATACTATGACAATACTGAGAATTTAGTTCTATCTTAAAACAAGTATTAGCACGAATGACTGTGTTTAAATGTAGGGATGTGTATTGCTTTAACAGAAGAAGATATTCATTCTTGTCCCATCTTTTTGAAGAGGCTGTTTTAATTTTTCTGAAGCTTTCTGGATCCTAAAATTGAAGTACCTTAAATTTGGAAATTCTGAGTAAATCAGTAAATTGAAATATTAATTCAAATCGTCAAAGTACAAATATTACTGTTCAAATAAAGACATAACTAGTGTAAGCTCTACAATAATACAGTAACAAATTACTTTCATCATGAGTAGAAGTATTTTTGGTTTAATGAATTATCATTTAATTACCCTAGAGAAACGGTTTGCGATATAACTGAACTTACATGATAAACTGAAATATATATCCAAAGATTTAAATATTACTTTCTAAGGTAATGATCCCCCATAAAGATACCTAAAGAGAACACAAATCAAAATGTGCTAGCAGATCCATTTTTATAAAAGTCTTCACTTAAAGCGTAGTACATGTGTGACAGTAAAGTCACAGATATAGAGCTTAAACCATCATTAATTTATCAGGCAATAAAAATGTGTAATTTTCTATGATGATCTAGGAAAATGTTGGATGATCCTCTCCCTTATCCCAAAAGCAGACACCAAAACTTCAGAACACTTATGCCTAGCATTGCATCAAGCCTAGTTATTCTCCCTGGACTTCCTAACACACATTTCCCTTAACCACTGGCGCCAAGAAGGTAAAAAGGTCTGCACATAGATTGTAATCAATTCAGAAGTCAGGTAGAAAAAAACACAAGCTAACAGGTTTGTAGTTGGTATATTTTTAGCAATGAAAACTAAACTGACCAATGATGCTACACTTTGAAACCAACATTTAAATTAAGAAATTCAGAAAAAGAAACTGGACAATGTATATACACTATGTGAGAAAAAGAAATGCCACAACAGTATTATTATTTGTGCTTAAATTATGACTAGAAAATAAGCAGCAGGGGAAAAAAATCCCACAAATCTTTTAAAAGTAAGTTGCGGGCCCTCCCTGGTGGTACAATGGGTTAGAACGTAGCACTGTAAGCAAGCTGCAGCCATTTCAGTACAAGTTCGATCCCTAGCCATGGAGATGATTCACAAGGTGGGCAGACCTCTCCTGATCCTCCCGCTGCTCCCCTCAGCAGCCTCCTTAGTCGCTCAGCCTGTTCTGCTCCCCACTCTGTCTCTGGTGAATCCTCTCACTGCCCCTTCACCTCTGGCTTGTACCCCAGTTCTGTATGAATAAATGCATCTTAAAAAAAAAAAGTTGTTCACAAAACATGTGAATATTAGCAAACAATCTTACCTTGGGCAGGATCAGGTGGTCCGAACTCCAGAGAGTATCGTAAAATGAAGTTATTGTTCCACACGTACAGTTGGTTATCTCTTGGATTGTAATCCACTGCAGCAATATACTGGTATTGGTTGGGGAAGGGAACATCTACATATTCTCCTCGGTTTAATCGGGTATTGTAAATGTAATCGATAGCATTCTTGCCTGTTTCACTTTCATTGTCCTGATAAACTGACCTGACCACATAGAGGACTCCACAGATCATAAAAGCATTTGATGCTGCACGTTTGTCATATACAGTCTCCCACGTTGCTTCAAATCGAAGAGTATATGGATTGAGTTGGCTAATAACTATCATTCCATTGTTCTGTTCAGTGGCATAAATGACCCACAAGCCATTTTCATCAACGGCTAGGTCAATATCAGTCTTTCCTCCCCATCTGTATGGTGAGGTATCATGATAATTGGCATAGTTAATTATGGCCTCTCCACTCTTAATTCTAGTCCTCAAGTCAAATTTCACAATATTCCTTGTTCTTTCTTTGTTAAAGAAGACAGCACCATCATACACAACAAATCCAGTACCATCTACTCGGTTTGGTAGTTTATATGTTGTTGTTTGGCGACTGTTTTGAAAGTCTTCCAAAGAAGCATATTCTATTAAAGTGTCAGTACGATAGGGAGTCCAGGGCATGAAATAAATTTTATCTGCAGCCTGAAGAGGATCCTTGCACCAGGCACCTGCCTTCTGTTCAGCTTCATATATACATGGTGAGTCCACAATTGCTTTCAAAGTTCCAGGGCACACAAAAACTAACAGTTATGGAGAAAAGACAAGAATTTAAGCCCGGTTAAAATTTTACAAAGGCAAACTAAAATGTTAATAATCATAAATCAAAGAGAAAAATTTATTTTATCAATATTCAATGTTGGCAAATGTATGTTTAAGAAAAGTATTAATTAACCCAGATTTCCTTAAGTTACCATAATCAATTTGCCAGCATACAAAGTTGCTGGGGTTGATCTTCACAAACAGAAACTTAAGTTCAGGATCATTCATATTGTGCTGCCAATTTTCATTTTTCACTATGTGTTCATCTTATAATTTGGAAATTTATATTAAGACTTTGAGCTTTGTGCACAACAGTGCACTAAGTATTTTAGTCCAGACTTTGTACCCTTCTTCCCCTAGTCCATTTGTTAAGACCCCAAAAGCAAAACACTAAAATAAATAAAACAAAAAAACCCAACGTGACAGTTATTTAAAACTTTTACACAAGTTAGACTGAAAACACAGGTGTTTTCACTGAAGGAACATAAATACTTGGAAAATGCAATTAGGAGCAGAGAAAAGTAAATACGAGGAAAACAGATGAAACAACCAGGAGACCCTGTAACCATGGCATGCTATGGAGAGGGTTCTGGAAGCGAGGCAAGATGACACTTTAATAATAATATACCCAACGGTGTCAGAAAAAAAGAGATAAAAGGTGAAAAAGAAACAGAGAAAGGGCATCTTTCCCTCACCAACTTCACAATTTTTACCCCATCACCAGATTTAGCAGTCATATAATTTCATTGTAAACAGTCGACTTCTTTATGAGGTGCATTTATGAGATCCTGCTGATACTTTAATGTCAAGAGTGTTGTGGGGGAAGGGGAGGGAGGAGGTAACATCCATAAGGCACATAACAGGGAGCTGGGGGTCAGACTGTATACGTTATTTACCTTTTTGCTCCACTTCTATTTTAAGCATCGGAAGAAAAATAAAAAAAAAAAGTGCAAGGAGAAAAGAAAAAGATTAAAATAAATTGACTATTAATCTAAGACTGAATTTGTAATAGATGTTAAATATAGGGAGAATAGAGCTGCACTAATTTGGGTAAAGAGAAACACACACAGGAAAACCTAGCAGGAGAAAGATTCTAAAGTTACATAAAAGAACATGGATCAATCATTTTAGTAGATAAAGGAGGCAATACAAATATGTTGGCATGTTGCTTCACTTAGTGTACCTAAATAAATAATGAAACTTCACTAATGCATCGCATACATACTCTTGACTTTCCAAAGTCATTCTGCATTGCTATCAATTTGTACTTTATATATGTAAGTTATGGGCACAAACGCATGCACAGGTATATAATCTCCCATTTAACTTATTATGTGAACACATCAAGTTGATTAGTTAGATAAGCATAGTAGGAAAATATAAATATGCCAACTCAATTTTGCAATGTAGGTCAAATTTAATGAACATAAATATAACCACACTAACATTTTCAAAGATATCTATGTTAGAAGAAATAGGTAATTGTTCATCTCAGTATATATTTCAATTATTTTTCTATTACTTTCTACTTTTAGAAAAATTCATCTTTACATTAAAAAAATGCCTCCTCAGGAATATATAAATCTCTACCGCGCCCCCCACCCCCACCCCAAGCAGGGACTTTGATATGTGGAGTAAGGCATGGCCTCACTTCCCCACTAAAAACTAATAATTTACTTATTTAGGTTTAGATAATCTTTACATTATAAAATATTAACTATTCTATCACATCTCAAAATGTTAATACTAAGTCTATTAAAAAAAGCAAGCAAAATACATACAAGGAAAAGCAAGCACAGTAGGCAAGGAGAAAAAGGAAGAAAGAATTGTGGTTAGCTTATTATGACATTGTCTACCATCATCAACTTACACAAAGCAAGCTGCATGCAACAGCAATCATACCGAGCATTCAAAGCAAATACCTTGACTCCACAGACCCCATAAAAGGTAAATGCTTTCATAAAACAAACCTGATTAGTAGAGTTATATGACAGAAAAAAAAAACCCTCCCTCCAAGAAGTTTGAAGAAATAGATTATGTAGTTAGGAAGGGTACTATGTAAGATTTTTGCCAGTAAATAGTATGCAAATAATTATAAACCATAAAACACTATTTTAAATTGTATGTAGGCTTTGAAGTATGTTGCCTGAATTTCATAAAGTGACCAGATTAATGTCTGTGCTTCTCCCTCTTCCCTTATTAAAATTCATTAGGGTGTGCTAATACTGTATCTACAAACTGATTACTCAAAGATACTGTAGTTGCACATTTCATTAAGATGTCGCAGCTTGATTAATTTTTAAAAATCACATAATTCATCAAGATTAAATACTGACCTCCTGAAATACCTTAGGGAAAAACATTATCACACAAATATTTTTGCCATAGGAATTGTATATAACCTCCTGCATTAAGTCACAACCGCCCCCCTTTCTACCATGGTCTACTGAACCTTTCAGGAAACATACTTGCTCTACAATGTGTGATTCTGACTATACCCAGTAAAAAGAAGAAATTCAATGTTACTGACACGAAACAATTCTTGACCACTAGTCCTAAAATTACTCTTCAGTAAAGAGCAGTTTTATACGTGCTTAGATCAATAACAGAGGTGGGGGGGTGTGGGTGAGAAAATGAGGATAAGAGAAATCATTAGTGTGGTAACTGCCCAAACTATATTTATATATGGCTGTATTCTTCTTCTTCTTCTTCTTTTTTTTTTTTTTTTGGAGAAAAAGGACAATATTACTAAAATTAATCAAATGTAAATGATGGAAACAGTACATTTTGAAATGCTACACCTTTAAAACAGAACTTAAAGATAAGTTCAATAAAGGATGTAGATAATATATTCTATTTTTCATTAACTGAAAATGGCTGGGGTTTTATTATCCAATACACTAAAGTGACTGTACAGTTACTGAGCAAAATATTAAATAGGGAAGTCCTTATTTGATTGTGATTTAACTGGTATCACCTACATTAAAGAAAATAAATACAAATTGCATACAAATTATAATTCTGATAAAAACTGGGAACATCTAATATAAAAATAATTTAAATGAAATCTCGGATGGATATGAATATTCAAAAGAGTTTGCATTGTGATTTTTAAGAAAATCTAAAGGCAGATATAGGTGTCAAGTCATTCAAACTTCTATAAACCCAGAATACAAAAATGCAATAAAATGAATGAAATTAGCATTCTTCCAAACATGCCAAATATATACTGCAACTTGTCTTAAGAAACTTTATGTTTACTATTCTATAGACCAAACATAAACACATGACTACTAACATCAGTGGAGAACTATATGAATATGCAAGACAAGAAATTGACTCAAACAAACTACATACTCTGTATCTGAAGTGACACACTATTTCATTTTGAATAAGCTCATCTTTATTCATAGTAATCATTTAATCAAAAGCAATGGTCATTTCACCCCTCATCAAATGAAATTTACTAAAATTATGGCATAATTTTTATGAATTTATGATAATTTGAAATAAGAGGGTACAAAAATCAAAACCAAATTTTGCCTGTAGGATAGGAAGTTCCAATCTGATCATTCTCCTTTATTCTACAAGAGCCTTATGACTTCTTTTAAGTATACGTACATTCAAATTACTAAAGCTTTTGTTAATAATAAAGGATGTAGGGTGCCCTGTTCACATACATAACTGACACAAACATTTCCTGGGCCAGTATAAATACCATGTTTAATACATGTGCCTGTCTATAAACATTCACAGTACAGCAAACAACAGCATTTCTAATGGACTCTACTGAGAAAATTTACTGCATCTTTTCAATAATCATGGAAATCATGTAGAAGCTTCTGGGTAACTTATTTTAGGTAGAAATGGCATCAGGTCAGGTAGTAAGAGACATAACATAAATACTATCTGATGGTGCAATTCTTACTAAGTGTAAAAGGGATATGCAAGCATCACTGAATACATAAACACTATTAAACAAGGCTAGACAAAATAGAGGCTTAAAACCAAAGCACGTGTATGGGATGGGTAAGATGAACAAGAATACAAAGAAATAAAAAGAGGAAAGTGAAGTAACAGATAAGGAAACATTCAATCCTACTGACCAGAACAATCTAAAAAGATCCCCTGCTTTAAATTTTATCATTATTGAAAATCATATAATTTATAGTGTGTCACTACTGTACAGTATATAGGAATTATCATCACTTCTATAATTTAACAAGGAGTAGTTAAAAAGCCATAGACTTATTTCTGCCTCGTGCAAACATCTAGAAAAATAACAGCAAATTAATTACTGGGGTTTTTCTTTTGTTTTTAAGGACAAAAACTAAAAAGAACAAATACTTCTCTGAGTATAGCTATTTGCATGTTTAGTGCACAATGTACAAAACTTCTGGAGAACTGAAAAAGTAAAATTTGAAAGTTAGATGTTCCAGAAGATATCCACATTTTCTTTCTTAAACAGCACAAGAAATAACTTAAAAGTCTGAAAATAATATTTGCTTAACACTGTTCTTGGTCTATAGACTAGGTTACAGGAACTGGTTCCAGAGACACAATTCTTGGCAGCTCTGCCTGATTCCACTGTTTTGGGAATGGATGCTGTATTCCTTTTCTAATTTGAGGACAGAAACCACGCTAAATTCAGGTGAAAGTGATTTTACGGAACAAAATTTTTGTTAGCTTAAAAGAATACAATGTTCCTCTAGTGGCACTGGAGAGTGATTATGTAAGCCACCAATACTACACGCAGGAGAAATGATACAAGATCAGTGCACTCAGTAGGTTTCCGATCCTACAAATGGTATAGAAAATACTGAAAACATAAAAAAGCATCCATTTCACAGGAACTCTACAGAGCAAGGATAAAAAGTAAAGATAATCTGTGTTTGGCCTTTAACTGATCCTCCACAAAAAGCCAATTTATCAAAACTATGGGCAGAGAGAGAAAGAGAGACAGCTCCTTCACAGGTTAGGTAAGAATGTATTACTACTACATTGGACACATAGCTATAAAAATTCAGCTTTTCAGTTTTAGAGATATTGATAGTCTGGACATACGATTCTATCAAAACAAGAGATCTTGTGAGGTTCTGGAAAAAGTAAATTCATTATTTAGAAAATCCATTTTTTAAGAAGTGTACAATAACACTCTTAAATTGATAAAATTGACACCAAGTAAGTTCTGATTTCAAAAGCCTATAAATTAAAGTGACCTGCCACATTTCTTTGCAATTTAAAAAGAAGTGGTACCATCAATTTATGAAAATTCGGAAATATACTGAGATTTTTAGTTTCTAAACTCTTGTTTTAATTCAAAGTATAGACTAGGATTTAGAAGTATGATTTGAGAAAAGGAGGAAAACGACACAGAATTAGAACATGGGTTGAAGTATAATTATAGAATTTCCAAATGAATTTTAATTATCAATCTATAGGATCTTACAAAATTGGATGTTGCAAAATTTAAAGTAGAAGTATATGCAAGATTGTTATATTTTTTTTATTGTAAAACTTCACCACTGAATCTAGTCAAGAAATATTCCCTTTAGGACCAAAAGCACTGGCCTCAGTTACTGCAATGGTAGCTTTTACCAGGCACTAAAGTTACCAAAGCAGCAGGTAGCCATTCAAGTAGCTCACGATTAAAACTGAAGTCAATTCCTTCTTTAGAAAACTGTGAGCCAAACCAATTTGTCAGCAACTGGTATTGGGCAAAAGTACAGATTTCTATCTGCCCTATTGAATAGCTAATTCAAGTTTGTTTTCTGGAAAAACACTAGCCTTAAAAGCCAAACACTTAAGAACACAGACAGACACTTGGCCAGCATCACACTATGGCTTCCTTCCACACTTCATGAAGCTAATTGGAGGCTCAAGTCTGTTAGTGCTCTGCATGCATAATGGTTTGTAGGCCATAAACATATGCTTCTTTCACATGTGTAGTCTTTCAGCATCAATGAGTAATGCTGGAGAAAGTGAAAAATATAAACTTCATACTTACTGTAAGGGACACATTCATACTGGACTTCAAGATATTTGTATGTTCCAGGACATGGATCAGGAAATACATCTGACCCAGTAACTACTATACACTGTGTTCGGTTGTTGCACCTAGAAAACAAAAGAAATCAAATTTGGGTGACATACTATTTTATTTATTTATTTTTAAAAATAATAGTTTGTTTTTACATCATTCTGTGCATTTTTTCATCTCAGTTGTTATCCCCATTGGCTTCCCATCACCAAATCACCCATGTGTCATCATACCATTTATTTTTACTAAATAAACATTTCAGAGCTGCTTTATATTTTCTTCAGGAAACTAGTATATAAAATTAAAAATTCAACCAATATTAGATTGTGCTATGCTTAAAGTTAAGAGTCACATTTTCTTTATGTTGTATTATTTCTATGTTATGGGTCATACTAAATATTAACTCCAAGTAAAAAGAAAACAGCTATAGTTTTCTTATTCTAGTGTACATTTTAATTGGAATTTTGACATATTCAAAACGAAGTAAAAAGAAAAAATGTATACTAACTGTATTTAAGAAATAAAAAAATGGCATTATGACTAAAGAGAAATGGAGTCTTAAACAGCTAGGAAGTAAGTTTTGACAAAGGTGGAAGTTTAAAACAAAGGTGGAATCAGGTTTGTGTTTCCTTCTATCTAGATAGGCACTTTGTACAGCATGATTTCCAGATACAATGCCATTAGGTCACACCTTCCTCCTTCGGCATGCATGAATAATGAGTGCATTTTGAACATTGAGCACAGTGCCTGGCTAAGTGTTCGAGCATCTTTGTGAATCTTGCTATTTTCATAGGTGAAGTCATTTATACTATCAGTATGGTATGATTATGAATCTCAGTTGTTCTAAATTAGTCTCTCTGAAATACATTAAAATGATTGTCACTAACATAATACTTAGAACACTTAACTTATTACTATTGTTGAAAATGTATCAAGATAAGAATGAAGGGAGAATTCTAGGCAAGATGATATTTAATTTCTATGAATTTGTACAAATATCTTTTTTTTTTTTTAAGATTTATTTATTCACACAGAGCTGGTGTACAGGCCAGAGATGCAGAGGGTGAGAGGATTCACCAGAGATAGAGCGGGAGCAGAAAAGGCAGATCAATGAAGTACACTGCTGAGGGGAGCAGCGGGCGGGCCAGGAGAGGTCTGCCACGCCATGTGGATCTCCTCCGGGGCAGGCAGGGATCGAACTCATGCAGAATCGGCTTAAGCTTCCCAGTGCAGTGCTTTAACCCGCTGCACCACCAGGGAAGGCCCCAAATATCTTTTTGTAAAGGCAAGAATCATTTTCGTTATGATGTGCCTTTCTAACAACCCAACGGAATATAAACTTTGCTGGATTTTATTAGTACATAAATACTAATATACAAAGCAAAGGAGTACATAAATTTAAGAATACTAACAAAGCAGAACAAGAGCATTATAATTAATTTAACAATGTGAATATAAGGTTCTATCAGGTATGGAAAAGATGGACCATAAAAAAGGAAAATAATGAAGGAAAAGCAGCCCAATTTGAAGCACAACTACATTATGGATAGTGGAAGGAGAATCATGTTAAAGAAGGGATAACTTACCATGATTGATCTGTAATACCATATGCCATAATTTTAAAAATATCATACAAAATAATTTTCAATACCAATAATGTAAATGCTTCATTGTCACATTCTTATGCAATTTTTCCCCAAACTCATTAGGTGGAAATGAATTATTTTAAAGTGAATCATAGAACCATTTTATATCCTAACATCTTAAAAATAGGTGGCTTTACTATTTTTCAAATGGCCAATATGTTGATATAGGTTAATATAATGTTTTAATAGGTGAATATAACATTTATATAATGCTTCACTTTCCTAAACTTACAGAAAAAAGACAGTATTACTTTTTAAAGTTTCTTAATTAAGAAATTTAACCACTAAGCAGTTCCTATTGAAAACAAAAGTGTTTTTCTTTCCTTTCTTATATTTATTCATACCTACAAGGGTGTTCCCTTTATTTTCTCCTGGTACCTTTCAGAAACAAAGAAATCTTAACTTCTGTGATACACCTTTTACACTATACTATCTCTGGATATACTTTGTAGCCACTCAACAAAAAGTCTGCCATGCTTTGAATGTTTTTAATGTGTATCAACAATATATTCATGCTTGAAATCTAATAAAACAACAATCTGACTTACCAGTAAGTTTTTCATATAGCCTATCACATCATTAATTAATGAACAAGTGGGAGAGAAATTGGAATGAATTCAAGGTTGTAATGGATCGAGAGTTAAGGACTTTTGACCAAGGTGAAAGAGGCTGTAGCTCAGAGGATTTGAGAATTTATTTTATTTTTCAAAATTAAAGCATGTACTTTTGCTTAGTGAAATAAGCCAGAAAAGGGGTGGGAGGTGGGGTGAGAGGAAGCCAGATGGTTTTACTCAGGTGGGGAGAATAATAATAATAATAATAATGAATAACTATATACTAGAGACATTTTACAGGGTTAGAGTGGGAAATGGGATCAAAAATGGGGGGTGAGGGGGAAGTGCACTGGACTATGGTGATGGCACACTGGTGATTTGGTGATGGGAAGCACATGGAGATTACAACTGAGATGGAAAAAGATACAAAATGATGTAAAGATAAACTATTATAATAAAAAAATATATATAGGAAAAAAACTAAAGCATGTACTAAAGATTGTTTAATTTTCCACTGGAAGATTAGATGAATACATGACTTTAAATAAGTATGGGATTACAATTAAGATGGAAAAATGCACAAAATGAATAATGATAAAAATTAAAAAATCACAAACATCCAGATGTAATTAACAATATTCTACATGTAAACTAAAGGTCAAAGAATACCCTACTACACTCTTTATTGGTGGGGCATACTTTTCTATTTCTGACCTTAACCATGATTAGTCACTTATCTCAAAAGCAAAGTCCATGCTAATAAATTAAAGGAAATCTGCACTTTCTTTCCTCTAAATGCAATCCCACCTTCAAATGCTAAATAAATAAGGATTTAAAATCTATTTTATTGTAAATTTTTCAATGTCATCTTATGTTTTTGAGATGCATACATGTATATATGTAGGCATCTTTTCTGTTATTTGTGTTAAATTGTCACAAAGTGAGAAATAATTGCTCATATTTACCTTTTTCTAAGCAACTCTATATTATCATTTGACCTGAATTATGTCTTCAAAATGTTAAAAGCAATAACCATATTTATACCAACCACATAACTTTTATTACTTTTAGTAATCATACTGCACAAAACTTTTGACAGCAAAAAGATATTAACAGTTTTAGTAAAATAGAGAGTTTTAGTAAAACATAAGAGTACTTAATGGAGTTCCTACAAATAAAATTATATAGATTTTTAGAACTCGTGATGTCCCAAGATATCTAATATTCTTTTTATTGCAAGGGTAAGAAATTAATTTTGAGAAAAATATTAATTTTGAGAAAAAAATCAGAATTGGGGGCTACAATAGGAAATGGCCAGCAAGAAGAAGAACACAAATTTGAAAAGCATAGTACTATAGATTTGCATAGTAGTGTCTTGATTCATAAAAAAGTAAAGCTTTCAGAGGGCCAACTAATGAAAATAAAAGCACAGATTATGTGCATTCTTTTTTGAGTGGATCAAGTAGTCCTTGGTTTCCAAATACAGTAAAGTGTGGAAAAATAAGAGGCGACGATAATGCCCAGTATGACTTGTCAGTACTAAGACATGTTAGAAAATTCCTTTACCAATACAATGTAATAGGGTAAAATTGTAAACTAGTATCACTTTAGAGCAGTGAAAATAATTTGTGACAAAGCAAAATAAATTCCTATAACTGCATTGCTTCTTTTATTTATAGTGAAAATGAACTGACACAACTCAGTCAAGAAAAGGCATCTGTATTTTCAGCCTTGGCCATAGATCTTGCTGTGATTTTCTCCCTCTTCGCCCAACAAAACAACTATCAGTAAAGGTATGGTTCTATTTAATTGTACTAACAATTAAATTAACAGTGTATTTTGGTAATACATGGATCCAATATGTCGAAACTGTCCTTTTCTCAGATGTTATGCATAAAAATTGAGTATGAATGACAATAAGGTAGAAAAGAATGAGTTTTTAAGTAAGTGAACCTCTGATCACGACGTGGAGGAAATATAATTGTTGCTCATCTTTCAGATAATACACACTAGATATATCTTAAAGACCTGAACTTTTAATACATCTTTAGTTTTGTAAAGATGTACAGATGAGTTAGGATAGTTAAGGCACTAATAGTCTAAATATATGAAACATACCAACCTTCATAAAACTTACACCATCAACCACAAAAGAAAAGCATTAAGTATCAAAACCCTAGAATTTTTAAAATTTTAAAACTCCTTACTAAAGGGGAAAACAAGTCTATTCAGGAATAAAACCATAGTACATCTCAAAAGTGAGGATAATAAAATTGAGTATTTTGAAGCTTATATATTATAAGTTTACTTCTGAAACATAAGGAAATACTAACATGTACTTATGACAAAACTTAAAAAGTATAATATTTAAGGACAATGCAGCTGTCAGAATTTATAGAAACAAGGAGAAAAGAAAGATTAGTGTTTAAAGACAGAGGCTTTAGAATCAGAACTGAGGTTTAAGTTCCAGTTAGGCTGATACTTAACTTTATGTACATAAACAATGCAGTGAACCTTTCAAATTTAGTTTTCTCATCTGTCAAATTTTTTTTTGCAAACGCACCAACAGATATGAATTATTGCCAACAAAAGAAGCATTAACGATAATTAATGTGCCCTTATATAATAGGGACATGGCTTGCAAATCTTAAAAGGTCAGAGCATCTTGTATTCCAAAGTAGTTCCTACACTGTGCATGACTTCCAGGGTGTAGCTTTAAAAACAGGCTGAACTATTCATGCAAATTTGTTTCCTTTCCAACGCTAATCTTGAATTGTACAATGTCCAACAAATTGCTTTTACTCTTCTTTTGATTATCTTATGCTCATTATTACACTTTACTAAGTGCAAAGTATGGAGATGAGATTCCATGTGTAA